TGTATTTGTATGCGATATAAAGAACTTTATTATGCCCACTCTGTAACTTAACAGGGTATATCTAAACTTTTTGTTTCTCTTTTGAATGCCAAATGAAATAATAAAAGTGGTCATTCAAATTGTAGTAAGACCAAATTAATCTTCAAATTTATTATTCTTTCCAATGTGCCGGTTTTTTGTTCTTTTTGATAATAGGAGTAAGAAACACTTATAGCTGTTTTAGATCTTCACTGTAGTCTTATTTTTCTATAGGATGACTTGTTTTCTTTCTTGTTATGAGAATTTTTTTTTAAAATGCGTTTACTTGACAAAGTAAAGGTATGATGCTGTAACATTTTTTTTCTCCTGCGGGCAGGCATCCAATGAAAGTGAAAAGCACTCTGGAAATGAGGTAATCAGTGCCCAACAAGCTGAAGACTTGAAACTGAAAGAAAAGAGGAAGCGGGAGCGTGAGGTGATATAATCCTGGAATTTTGTTTTTCTATTTTTTAATTAATACAAGTTAAGCATGTAACATGGTAAGTTTGTGGAGCAGAAAAATTTGCCACGAAAGAAGCGAAGGAAATTGGAAGCAGCCAGGGAAATGTTAGATGAGGAAAATCAAAATGAAAAGTCGAATGTATGTCTCTCTCTCTCTCTCTGTCACACACACACACACACACACACCCACACACACGCCTTTCTCATGCGTTCCTGTGTTGTCATCTTAGTTTAGGTCAAATTAAAATAGCCAGAATGTTCAGTTTTTTGTCATCTTAGTTTTGAGTCTTACTATATCAGCCTGAGTGATCCTGCATGAGGGCCAGTCCTGGATCCCGGATACCAAGATTGGTCTGTGAGATCATACGTATATATGATTAGTTAAATAGTGTGTGTGTGTGTATATATATATATGTTTTGTTACGGTGGAATAATATCAAATAACACAAGTATTTGGTTAGTTGGTGTTTGTAAACTTTTTATGCTTGAGGTCTGAGGTTCTAGATAGTGATTATTTATTTTTATATTAATGAAAGAGCCAAGTGGGTTTGCTTGATCTGGTCCCTTGCATTTCCCTTTGTGAAAGGCATTCCATGGCTAAATAACAGTTCGATTTTGTCAGTATGATTTTCAAAATTCTCCTGTATGTGGTATTGCACCTCCAGGTAGGGGGTTTTCTTCATAAAGCTCAGCATTTAAAAAAAAACTTCGATTATTGTATATATTAAGTAGATAGGTTAGAAGATGGTCAAAGATACTGTACCTCTATGTCTGTGTTGTGCTTTTCTCTAAGTTTTAATGTAAATCAAGCTAAACAACAACATTTTTATTTAAAAAAAAAAAAAATAAAAAAAAAAAAAAAAAAAAAATATATTATTTTATATATAGATGTATTGTGTGTACACAGTGATCACTATGTAAGAAAATTTCAGGGTAGTGGAAAAAGTAAGAAGGAGAAGACTGGAATGCCACTTGTTGACGTGGCTTACCGACGGGCAAAAGCTGTGAAGGCTGCAAAGAAGGCAACAGATGCTGGCAAGATTGTGAGGAAGCCTAGCAAGAAGTCTAGTAGTACTCCGCAAAGAACTCAGTCAAGGACAGATGAGATGCAGGACCTGTTCCAGAGCGACATGAGTCAAAGGAAGCAGAACAGAAAAAGCAATGGAGATGGAAAGAAAAAGTCCAAAAATTCTTTTAAGAGCAAGTCAAGGTATGAATCACCTTAGCTTGTGATTAATATACTTGTTTCGGCTTTAATTTGCACCTTCTTGAGCATTGTATTTGATATATATATAAAATTTATATTCTACATTTAGTTAAATTTTGGATGCTTATTTCTGCTAACGAAAGTCTTGGAGAAATAGATCTGTGGTTAAGTCACTCCAAAACTGAGCTGAATGTAGAACATAAATTCTATATTTAGATTGGCAGATGGGCGAGGACATAAATTCTATACATAAATACACAGGAACATCTCATCCTGATGGGAAACAAATCATTTAGGCTCTTGTTTGGTTAAGCCTGGCAGCATGCATTGTAGTCCTTTAGGGTAGAGGTTTTGGAAAAATAAATGAAGTAAAGGTCCTTTATGCAACATTGAATTGTAGTAGCACTAGTGGCTCAAATGTTTGTATTTTCTAGTTTCCATAAACAAAGGAACTTTAATGGTACACTTGAGGACACGTTTTGAGCCAATCCTCTATATTTTAATTGTCAAAACAGTTATTTTTCCCCACTGTTACTGAACCCCTAGGTGTTCTACCAAAACAAAATAAAATAAAAAAAATCCCATTGTTTTGTTTTTCACTTTGATTTTTCTTAACCTTTAAAAAAAATAAAAATTTCCTTCCTCGGTCAAGGTAAGGAGGAGTTCCTTTATCACCTCATCGCATGAATGATATTTCGTGTATATCTGAATTCTGTAATAATTCTTCTCTGTTTCGATTTCTTTCTTCAGGTACAAGCGGAGGTAGCTCCATCAAGCCTGCAATGAATCCCCTATACCATGCTAAGTGTGATTGGTTTCTTCAAAGGGGTACTGAGGAGCAACTGAGCATGTAACCGGTACCGTACTACCACGGTACCAAGAGCTGGCTAGCTTGTGCTAGAAGAATATTTAATGTAATTTAATCGTGCTTGGTTGCCTGTCTCATGTATATCTGCATTAATACAGTTAATTTATTTAATTTTTTAAGCATTATTCGTATATCTACATTAATAATCATGATTTGTTTTAATAAAGCAGTAATAATCAGAAGGTAACTAAAATAGAAATTGATATTATAGTGGATAAAGTTCTGGAAATTGTTAATATAAACTTTCGTCCGAAACAAATAACGCCTTTCATTTTGTACGGTGCTGCTATATAAAATGCTCTCCTGGTAAAGGCAAGAATATGAAATGAGGCCCTCATATAGGCCATGAAATAAAGTCGGTCCCCAATTGATGGGCTCGAATATACAATATGGTCCCTCATTGTTCGGACAGAGATTCATGACGGCCCAAATAATTTAATGGGAACCCAATACCAAGCCGAAATATAATGGCCCACAGCAAGGCCCAATTGTTTAAATCGCTGCTCAATCATGTTACGAAGTTTTAGATAGCGGCCCAATAATAGGCCCAATTGTTTTTAAATTGCGACCCAATATGTGACCCGAATAGTTCAATGGCGAGGCTCAATTATATAAATGGTGAGACCCAATGATATAAATGGCGGCCTAGTAATAGGCCCAAATGTTTTAAGTGGCAACTTAATAATTGGCCCAAATAGTTAAATGGCTGCCCACAAATATGCCCAAATTTTAATAGCGGCCCAAATACTGAAATTGAGTTCCCCAATCCGGCCAGACTAATACAAAAATTCTATAGTGAGGGCTTTATATTGGCCTTTAGGTGATGTCTTTTCTTTTAACCGTTGGTTACCCCAATTCAACGATTAAGAGAAATGACCTCACCTAAGGGCTATATATAAAGCCCTCATGACTCTAGACTAATATATGCGGAAATCATATATTGGGCCTATATCCAATTTGTGGAACTAGATAGTGGGCCAAAAACATAGCTAACAGCTTTCAACCCACTGAAATTGGGCTAACGGGGTGTTGGGTTGGAATGGCTATGTTAAGAGTAAATATAAATTTAGAGTACTACTAAACGAGCCTTAAAATTAATTGAGTATACCATAATATTTAAATCAAAATGTAAAATGAACTAAGTACAACCTATTTAACTATCAAAGATACCCCGGTACATCCTAATATTCTCTAAAAAAAAAAAAAAAAAAAAAAAAAACAACGTTCTTCTCCCACAATCCCTTTTTCTCCATACTTTGATTCTCGAAGTTTTTAACTGTACAATCTGGACAAATTATTCTTTTTGACATTTCCAAAATCTGACTAATGATACAAAAACATTCAACTGAATTCTTTGATATTGATCCTAAATCAAATAATGAGTAATACTTAGGTAGTGAATCACTCTTATTAAAATACTCAATTTTGCAGCTTCGGATTTTTAATTTTTTTTTTCCAAAAAACACAGTATTTTATGCCGTCTGTTTTCATTGCCTTACTTGCTGATAGAAGTCCCAATATGATTCGTGTGGCTACTTTTGTGGAGGGAAATTGGAAAAAACAAGTTTTTACAAAGGGTTTCAAATATTATAGGAAATTTCTTGAATTGAAAGATGAGAAAAATGAAAAAATTACACGATTGAAGAAGAAGAGTGATTGAAAGGAGAAGAGGTTCTGCTGGGCTTGGTTTTAAGAGTTCAGCTGTCCAAATGCTAAGATGGAGAAGATAAGTGTAGGGAAAAAAAAAATGCGGTGCCATGTTTTAGATGGTTTTTAAATGATGAGGCATGTTGAAAAGAAGAGAAAAAACAAGCAGAAAATCCGCATGTTTTAGATGGTTTTTAGATGATGTGGCATGTTTAAAAGAACAGAAAATACAAGCAGAAAATCCCCGTTAGTAGAGTGTACTTATTAAAATTATATTTGTTTCATAATTCAATATATCTTTTTTAGTCATTTTATATTAGAGTAAATTAGTAATTCAATAAATAATTTGACAGTAATCTATTAATTTTAAAGTTCATTTAATAGCACTCTAAATTTAATCCTTATTTTTTCTGTTTCCGGTAAACTCACTTATTAAGAGACCCTCCTCGTAATCAACACTTAAATAATGTAGGAATTTGTTCCTATAATTTCTGTGATATACATGGAAGAAAAATTACAGCTACACGTACCAAAGTCTCCTCCTATGTTGCAAATGGCCTTCTATGAAACACAGAAAGAAAAAGAAAAGGGAAAAAAAAACAATAAATAAAAACAAGACCCTAATTCTTCCTTCAGCAATTAATCACATAAATCATGTTACCTTGATAATTTCCTCCAACTTTATTCAGTTCAACTAAAGCGAATGAGCTCACCCACTTCTGGATCGCATGTATCAATCTACTTAGTTGGATTTATGAAACTGATCCAAAGAGACGACTGCCCGCAGTTAAAAATTTCTCATCTCCATGGTGGTTGCTGTTGCTGATGTCTGTAGCTAAACGGGAATGATTCCCAGCCACTATCTGGTTCCTTCCTTTTCCCACCAACGGTGGAACTTGAAGGAGGGGGTTGTGAGTTGTTCCTCAAATGATCCTCCATAGACCTGCCGCTCTGACCGTGAATGAAAAGGTGCCTCAGGCCCGAGTCCCTATTGCCTCCCTCAACCATAAAGCCAGAATTCAGATCAAAGCTAGGAGGACGTGAGGGCCCAGCACCATTTAGACCTGGTTGTGCTGTCGCACTCAAGTTCATAATGAACGGTGACTGGGAAAATGGAGGCGGAACAACTGACGGAGACGCCATTATTTGAGGCACAACAGGAGCTCCTCTAGAATCCACCATGTAGGGGATTGTGCCACCAGGTCCATACATGGCTGAGGAGAACGACATGGTAGGTCCTGTTGCCAGTCCATTGTACCCAAAAACAGGAGAGTGAGTGTAAGAGACCGTTGAACCCATGTCCAAAAGATTCCCCGTTCTTGCCATGCTAACATCTGCGGCAGTCTCAATAGCCTTGCCATTTGCCAGGGACAGAGTTTGAGGAGCATCAGTTCTGTTTATCTCCACTCGAGTACCCATGATAGAAATAACTGAAGCATCTGGTTTAGGCCATCCATATGCATTTGCAGTTTGAGAAGACTTACCTGGTCCTTGATCTGTAGAATCATTATGAAAATATGGCCTGTCATTCAAATCAAAATTCCTCATAGAAGGCTGCATTGATGATGACGATGAAGCAGGAGATGGGCTGCGACGGCCATTCCGATTGTTTAAGAACTGTCCTTCCATCCTTAAACCCGATGGTAAGGCATCACCATCATCATCAATACGATTTAGATCCAAATTGGGCCTCCCTGATCTATTTTGACTCACTTCAACTGAAGATTCCCCAGAAGGAAGGCCAGATGACACCGGAATTTGTTTTCCTAAATCATCTCCACCCTCAGCCACATTCAGATCAATGTCAAGGCAATCCAGTCTCTGCTTTGAGCCATCACTGGTGGCCCCCGTAGAAAGATTCTTGTCACCATCTGAAAATCTGCGAGGAGATGCTCGGCGAAAAGCACTAGTAGCAGCAGATCCTTTCCACCCAATAGCCCCCTCAAACTGCAAAGGGGCTACGGGTAAACCAGCAGCTGCTACTGGCCTTGAAACAGGAATTGGAGTAGAGACAGGATTTACTGGGCGATCCATTTCATCAGAGCACACTTCTTGATTTAGATCAAAAAAATTACAAAGGCTTTTTTCTGGGATAAGTTCAGGTTCTTGAGCTGCTTCAGTCACCTGAGAGGACTCCATGTCATTAGTGCATTGTTCTGGAATAGTGCCCACATTTTCTGAATTGACTATGTGGCCCTCCCTCTCAGGATTTACCTCTGCCGAATGACTTTGCTCAGTTGCTGCCTCCTTTGGTGAAACATGAGTGGGTAAGTCCTGTTCTCCATTTATAGAGTCTGGGCTATCAGCTCGTCTGAGTCCACCTTCAGAGATTTTCTCTGAAGATGAACTGCAGTATGGTTCTCTATAATCCACTACTTCTCTTTCTACTTCTTGGGCTACTTGTCGAGCAACTTCTAGAGCGTCAACCATCCCATACTCATGATCAATATCGTCTGCAGTTGTCAATTCCTCACCTTCATCGCTGACATGCTCCATATCTTCATCAACAGCTCCCGGGTCAGCCATCCTGGAAGAAGTCTCTAAATCTTCAAGTTTTCCTGACATGCTACCATTACCAGACAAGTCATGTGGAGTGTTTGAACAGCATTCACCATCTTGAACTGTAGTATTGCAATGATTTACCGCTCTGACATCATCCATTACACCCTTTGGATCAGACGCAGCTGTCCCTTCATTAGCAAGAGCAGTAAATTTTTGACAAGAATCGTCCTGGTTGGCATTAACACTTTTTTGCAATGCAGAATCAGTAGCAAAGACCTGGGAATTTGAACCATCAGCACCTGAAGAAACAACCCCGGGTTCCACCAGACCAGGCCCCGAAGAGATGTCTGTCACACCCAACTTCTGTGGAGAACTGTTGACTTTCTCATCCTGATTTTCATTTTTGGACAACTCATTTGATTTTGGAGTGTCGGAATGTCCATCAACATTGCTCAGCTTTGCTGCTGGAAAACTAGAAGTTCCAATTGAAGTAGTTCCTCCCACAGAACACATAGAGGATTCATCTTTTATAGGACTTTCTTGAATAGGGTCCATGACAACAGCAGAGGCCAAAGGATCTGGAGATCTATCTTTGATGTCTGCATTGTCTAAAAGTTTGTGGGTTGGGGACTGTTTGTTACTCAGTACAGCATCAGCACCTTCTAGTTGAAGACCGCCCGAAGTCCTTAATGGGGACAATTCATCTCGAGCAGGTCCTGATGTGTGATTTTCTCTGTTAGTACCTACTTCTGAAGTACTTTTTACAGCAGAAGCCTTAGAATCTTCTTCCAAAATCTTAGAACTCCCATCATCACAGAGAACCTCAGCATTCTCAACATCCTGCTTCCAGCTATCAAACAGCATTCTTGCTCGATCCTGAACCATTGTGCTTTTGTGGCCAAGAAGACTCTTCACAGTACTCCAGATCCCTGAAGATATTGACCGCTTATTGTCTATATGCAGCTTTTCAAGTGCTCGTAACAGAGCAGTTATTGACTCTTCTACAAAGCTCTCATTTGTATCATTACCTAAGTTTTGAGCATCTTTAAGCCATCTATCAACAAACCAGAGTCCATCTAATTGAATAAAAAGATCAAGACAATCTTTATTCTCCGTGGCAGCAATTGTGCTAGCAACAGCAGCCCACTGCCGGGTTGCATCACCCACATTATTCGCAATAGAATCTTTCTCACTCTGCATTACATTGACCAGCTCCTCAACTCGAGACGGGGCTGTGAGCCCATCTTTCATCTCAGTTAAAGTAAAGAAATCTTCGAGTGTCATGGTGCTTTACATAACATGCTTACAATCGAAGAAGTCCATGTAGAACACCAACACTTTAATTTCCATTAAGAACTGCAGTAGGCTTTGATGACAATATTTGTGAAATAGCACTGCAGAAGTAACAAGACAAGTATTATGACCATCAAACATATGACATATAAAATCGATATTACCTTAATCACAAACAAGATCAAACTAGTATTGACACGTAAAACATAAGCTTCAAGAATGCAAAATGATACCTCTAATAAAGGAATATAAAATTATGAATAAGCAAGTTAAATCCACTTATAATTTAGGAGCAGTACTTATAAACAAAATCATTTACACAAACTAATACCAATTTACTGATATGTACTACAACAAAAAATATGAGATGATTGCCCTTCAATGGTTAGCAACACAGAATTAAACATTTTTAGGATATCAGGCAGTCAGTGCATCTGGCATGGTAGTATTTGATGATATTTACACCAATTTATAAAGTCCCATTGCCTATAAATGCAACAAAATAGTAGAACTTCATGACATGTTAAGGTCATTCAAACCATTTCTTTTCTTATTAAAATGTAAATCAAGCATAACTAATCATTCTATAATTCTTGCATCCTTGTTAGGTGAAGAAAGAGAACATGATTATTTGAACTAAAGTACGAAATCAAGTACATACACACATACATCTCATTGTGTAAGTATAAGAATTGAGACCAATTACAAAATCTAACAAGTGAACTACAAATACTTGCCGGAGAGGTGAAGAGTAAACGTATAAAAGGCATTAGATAAATGTTAACTAAATAAACTAATACACAATCATTGGGTCAATATAACAGAAAAATTATGTGAACATTTTGACCTAAAGAAGGATAATATGACCCAGATGAGATTTTGTAAAGTAGAATATATATAAATCTGCTAAATTGGAAAGACAGCATGCCCGCAAAGCCAATTAGTTAAGTACATTTAACACTCAAGAATTCAATGACCTCAAATAATTCAAAATTAAACGATTTTTTCAATAAAAGATTTTGAAATAAAACATTGATAAAGTATGAATATGAACTATATTTAATTAAGCCCCAACTTATACATTGCCACCATTGCTTATTTACAACAACACGGGGATAAGATGACAACAAACCATTGGAGAGAGAGAGAGAGAGAGAGAGAGGGTTGTGTACCCCATTATGAGAAGAAAAAAACACAAATCAAATTTCAACTTCAACGATCCTTCACAAGACAATTTCGTGTTTTATACTAGCAGTACTCGTTTACGGGACATATTTTATCCCCCAGTCTCAGAATAACTACTTCTCTCTGAACAGAACCCTACTCCCAAAATCTAGTAGAACTGCCCGACGCATTTCTACTGCCTGTTGAATCTGGTTATACCAGAATTCAGATACAAGATTCACTTTTTTACATCCAGCGTATACGAATCCTTAATCGGATACTAATCTGTCATTAGCCAACTTATTGCTAGACTAGTACATTCCACCAGTCTGCGCAAGTGCATAGCAGCCAGACAATGCATTAATCAATGAGAAGGTTTTCAAAGAGCTTTAAAAACATATAAAAGCAATTAGCACAAATGTTCAACGAAACATATAAGAAATGACTTAAACTTCTGCTGCTAGGGAAGGAAGTGCGGCATAAAGAAGAGAAAATAGGCTATCTAACATGCACAACGTCTAGTGTTCTTAGAACTAATCCACAGAGAGTCATCCAATAAAAATAACTACAATTCATATGAATATTCAAAGTATGATGCTGTATAGAAGCATACAACAGGAGAAAATGAAACTATGATGTCCAATAAATCATGAAATGAAAGTTGTACTGAAGGTAGAATTTTGCTTCACCGCCAAATTTAGAATACATAAATATATAAATATGCTGATAATTAATAAATGACCATTTAAGAACGCCTATGATAAAAGCATCTCTTACATATCATGCAGAGACAAATGGTTTAACATAACATATTCCAAATCTCTTGTTTAACACAAGAGAGAGAGAGAGAGAGAGAGAGAGAGAGAGAACGATCTATACCTGCCGCCTGGTGTAGATAGAAACTTCTTGATGAGGATCGACAAATAAAAAGCACTCTAATCCTGAAACAAGCGAACAAGCAATAAATTGAAAGCGCAAGTAGAAACTACAGGCGTATACATTAGTAGGGAAAACAATTACCCACACTCAGTAACCAGACAGTGAACCCTAGACTCAACCGCTATGCATAGAGTTCCTTTGATTTATTCAGAAGGAAGCTATAAAAACCAAACAAAACAAACAGCTGCGATTGCCATGTATAGAGAGTACCAAACCCTAGTATCCAAAATAGCGAAGTAAAAGCAAGAGAAACAAAATCCCACGCTTTCAGGGTTCGGCCGAACGAGAAGTGGTGTGAAATACGAGGATATGGAAAATTATAATCAGGATTATGAGAATTAATGCTGTGAGATATGTGCTTAATTAAGGCTAATTCCAAATTGAAATCGAATTAATCACACAACATCATAATGCGAAATATAAATAGCAAAAATTACAATCAGAAGTGTCTTCTACTTTACCTTCATGAACGAATTCGAAAACCCTAGCTTTGACACAGTTCCAATAGAGAAGCTCCCCCCACTCAGTAACTCTCCTCTCCCTTTTCCCTGTGTGTGTTTTGGGGCTTTCTCTCTCTAGCTCCTAGGGTTTCTATTCCTCCCTATCTTCCTTGGCAAAAACCCTCGGTTTGTTCTCTGTGAAGAAGCTCTTTTCGAACCAGAGAGAGAGAAAGATAGTCCAACGTTTCGTCCTCTTAGTTATTTCTTTTTCTTTTTTCAGAAATTCTGAATTGTAAAATTTGATTTATTTTGTAATTTGTGGGTGCTTTTAATTGGAACTGGGAAACTGCACGTGCAGCTCGTGCGCGGGGCGTGACATGGATTTGGATGGACCGGCGAGTCAGCTGGTCCGATGAACCGGTAACGTTGTTGTTTGTTCGTATAGGGAATAGGGAATAGGGAATATAAAATAGACAGATAGATGGGTTGGGTGCACCGAAGAAGGAGAAGACCAAAACTGTCAATTCCAGTAAGCCCTTTTGTGGGGCTTCTCATGTAATGTAATTATGTAATGACTTCCGAAGAAAAGTTGTGGGGTGGACGTGGTCTAAACTGAAAACGAGACGGGGTTATCCTTGTCATTTTCATGGGGTCCGGTCGGTCCCCCTCCGGGTCACGTGTGGTTCACACATGTGACTTTTGTGAAATGGTGGTTTTTCATTTTCAACGCCTTGAAAAATTTCATGCATCCTTCCAAAGCTATTGTCAAACAAGTCTCCCTCATCTTTATTTCTTTTTCAATGCTGACGAGTCATAATAAAACGCAGTTGCCTTTGGTTGATGGTAATTTATAAATTACAGTTGCTAAGCATGAAATGGACTTACTAGTTTATGTACAACGTTTATTCTCATGCTAAACCAACAAAATTGGGATTGGTTGATTGCTTGCTGCCTGACATTATGACATATCCCCTTCTTTGATTAAACCCTAGACTAGTAGACATAGACAACTTGCCTGCATCTATTTATTTGATAGTGAATAAACGATTCAAGTGCCAAATTTGTTATCCATCTTTGCCATTCAACATGTTGCTAGTGTAGTCCGCCCGCCAGGGGGTAAATAATTAAAGAGGGAATCTAAAAATATATTTCATGTGAGTGATGGTGATATATGCTCAGGTAAAAATCATGGCATCACATATTTAAGGAGATGGTTAAGCATATTTAAAATATAGCCCACAAAAAGACGCGGTAAACCATTGGGGAGAGCCTAAACCCTGAAGAAGAAAAATGAGCTCACATCACATTCAAACTTGCACACCATGGTTTTTTAGCAGTCCAATTGACACATGTAAAAAACATTGACTATAACACAATCAAGTCAACGCTGGGGTTTATATATATATATTTTGTGTTTTAAATATTTTAAATATTGTTTTAGGTAGAGGAAGGAGGGACGTAAATGGGTCGAAATTGAAGTGGGGAATGGGGATGACGTCGACAGACCAACCCTGCAGCCCATACATAGAGAGAACAATAGGTGACTGGCGCACTCAATTTGTAACATTATTTTGTGGAAAAGCTAAATGGGCTTGAGAAGATTACGAATATAGGCATCGGATATTTTTATCAGTTTATTCATGACAGTACCTCTGAAGGATGGATGATTTAGCGGAAAGATAAGTATAATAATAACTTAACCAGGACTAAAAAAGTTTAAAGTCAAACTTCCCATTCATTAGTCATAAACCTTGAAAATTCATGGCATGATTAGCATTTCAATTTCAGTTGATCAATGGTTTTCAAAGGCTAAAAGATGCTGACCTCGCATAACATACAAGTGGGCCCATCGATCAAAGACTCTTTCAATGGGATCATCGGGTAAAAAAGGGTTGTAAGTTGCAACTTGTAGGAATGGCATTGACAGGTTTATGTGATAAGAAGTTTTGTACATTCTTCTCGCGGGAACCTTCACATATGTGTGACGATGGGTGTGTGTTGGCCCAAAACACCAAAAAAGGCCCATCCCAGATGGCAACGCCAAGTGTGGAGCTACGTATATTATACATAATGATGGGTATGTATACACTACTACTGCTAGTACTAATACTAGATATGAAGATCGCTCTTTAGCAAACGCAAAAGAGAGATGCTACCCTGCGTTATTTTTCTTTCTTCAACACCTGATTTCTTCTTCCCACCCTGCAAAGCAAATTTGTTTAAAGCAATCTTAAAGAATTAAGCCCAGAGAGAGAGAGAGAGAGAGAGACGTTTACCTTTGGCTTCTCATCGTCATCCTCAATGTCCAAAGTACTGAAATGCCTTAGTAATAAGGATGATGCAGGCAAAAGTCTCCTGGTCATCACAACACAAAAAGGATTCAGAATAATTCATTTCATTAGAAAATAATGCAAGAAAAAATGCGTGGCAGTTGATGAAAGCACCTTTTTGGTTTTTCTGCTTTTGTAGCAGTTGTTGTAACCCTCGGTTCACTGCAAGGAATATCAATCAATTCGCACTCTTTTGATTTCTCTGCTTTTGTAACCCTTGGTTCACTGTCAGGAATATCAATCACTTCGCATCCTTTTGGTTTCTCTGCTGTTGTAGCACTTGTTGTAACCCTTGGTTCACTGTCAGGAATATCAATTATTTCGCACCCCTTACTTGACACAAGATCTTCTTGCGGCGACGTCGTAGTAAAATTCAATAACTCCTAGAAGAAACAGGAAAAATGATCGAGAGAGAGATAGAGAACTATTTGTTACATTAGAGCTTTCTACAACAACGGAACAAATTAGCAAGTTGTTTCGGAATCTCACACCGCATTCAAGTGAACTCAAATCAATTTCCAAGTGCAAGTTATATAAAAAGATACATATTTTTTGTAAAAAGAGAATGCTAAGAACTTTACCCGTGGCTTCTCAATCTCATCTTCAACATCCAAAGCCCTGCAATCCCTTTGTGATGGAGACGAACCAGGCGAAACTCTCCTGATTAGAAAAACAAATACCGACAATAATTTAGCGAAAATAGACGCTTGATATGCAATCCTCTCAAGGAAATCAATCTTCAGCATATGATACCAGGCAAGCAGGCAACCACAAATCTAAAATGATATGCTACTCTACTAACCTTTCCGATTCCCCCGACTGCAAAGCTTGGCAACAAGTATCAAGTCTACACTCACCATCTAGCAGGTCAACAGCATTGCACTGACCGGTCAATACAACATCTTCCGGTGATTCCTAGTTAATAGGAGAAAGAACCACATGCAAGTTGTCACACTAATTAAAGAAGAGTCATACGCGAAGAAGAGATAAAAGAATCAATAGACTGTAGCCATATACTGATGGCTGGAAAGGACTCTGAAAAACCACAAGATGATATTCTATAAAACAGGAAAAGACGATTGGTTGGAAGTAGCAACACATTGCTAAGAACAAGCTTGAAAAAGTGCGATTTCAACTCAACAGATGAAATAGTTCAAGGACTCTAACCTCATCCTCCCCACTGAGCATGTGGTCCAGCTCAACAGATGAACAGCTATCCTTTCTATGCAGTGACTGGGAAGAGTTTACCATAAAACCTGGAAGCCTTAAACTTGTAAACAAAAGCTAGAAATCATGTAAAATAATACCTAGTAGGTAAAAGTGTATCACATTGACCAAAAATCAAGATTGTGAGAGATTCATGTGTTTTGTCGTCAAAGTCCACAAACTACCACTAAACAAGACCCTTAAGAACATTTCAATGTAAAAGGTACGAATGACTGATTATTAACAATCAGATACTATATAACTATCATTAGCTGATAATGCCAGAAAGCACATCATTACATCCCAAAAAAACCAATGGATTTTGATATTCCTGATCGCCTAGGGAGCTACACGAAATATAATGACTTTTTGTGCAGAAATATTTAAATAAAGCGGGCCAAGTGCTATCTGGCCCAAAGGCTTCAATTCAAATGCCCATGAAAAGAAAAAAAATACTAAAAGCCATATAGTGTTTAATTTCTAAGCAACCACTAAATCATTTCCAGTTCAAAGTGACAAATAGAACCCCAGAACAATCTCCAATTTGATCAATTCAACATGATGTATATTCCTGTATCTCTAAGACCAGCAGCATCTGAGAAATGTAGGTACCCAAATGTCCAGATTATATCCCAATCATAGAACAAGCTACAGTTACAACATGAAATGCAAAGGTAAAATCTTAAACTCTTCAAATCTAACCTGCTACATTTGCGCTCGAATAACTATCCTCCATTCTGACACATTTAGACTCACACAAATCCTCAGCACTATTTCCACATCCAGAAAGGCTCTCACATGTCTGCTTTATATACCAGGTAACAGCTATGTTAAATTCCAATTCATCTAAAACATAAATTACTGTAGATTTTAAGAACAAAATCTTCTTTCCTGATAACTCGTACCTGATGATCCAGCTCATTTGGGTTTTCAAGTTCAAGACATGAAGCACTGACCTCACGAACATCCAAACTTTTCACCTAATATATGAGGAAAGGTATACCACTCAGTCCAAAGGCAATTTATTTTGCTTGAAATGAACGTCCACAGGTTTTCAACATTTCATCTTAAAAAGGTAAACAATGAACTTAACATGGTTTTCACAATGAAATAAATGTTGGAAAATGCCCAAGGCCAAACATTGTATCAGGAAGGGAAAAAAGGAGTTGTGGGCTTAATATCTGCACCTGAGAGATAAAATTTTGATCCTTTGTTGGAGTGTATTCCCTTAAGTAGGCAGTCTGAATAGAACAGAAGTTTTAAAAGTACACAAACTCTAAGAGTAAATTAACAGTTGAGCAAGAAAAAATATGTCAAACCTCATCAACATTGATTTGCAGTGGTACTCTCTCGTGAAAATTCATATCCAATTCAACTACGCTGACCTCAACTGATTTTCTGTGGGAACATGCACAGGAGGACTTTATATCATTGAGCTCCTTTTTAAGCTCAATATATCTTGTACTTTCTGTCACAAGGCTTTCTCTGAGATGCTGGATTTCGTTATCTGCCACCTACTTATAAGTATAACAGAGTTGATGAGTAGATTTTTTTTGGCCATAATTGATGAGTAGATTGAGCTAGTTAATTAATTGAAGAAATATGTATCAAAAGAACAACAAATCACTTCCCGAAATCTTTAGACTCTGGATTACCTTGAGTTTTTCTTTATACTGCTTCAAAACATTCCATAAAGCTTTAGCAAAACTCTGCATTATCTGATGGTTTCTCTCTCCTTCTCCAGAGTCAACACAACCTGATTTTGAAGGTGCACAACCACTCATGTCCACTTTGCAGATTCCTGGCTCCTCTAAAAAAAATATATGTGTGTCACATATTCTCAATAGAAAATAAGAAAATTAGATAAGGGATCCAAGCAGTTGGAATGAGAAAAGAAAAGAATAAAACCCATATAACTTACCACGGCTTTTGAGAGAACCTTCCTCACAAAGTCCATTTTCAGCTTCAATGGCTTTTCCTTCATCAATCTGAAATCAAACCAAAAGGAAAAATGTATACTTGGGCCAAAATACTTTATAAAATTACAGTAAGTAAGTTTCAGATTAGTCAATAAAATGTACACAATACGAAATCCAGTAGGATAGATGACCAGGAAAAAGGGAAATCAATGTTAGTACCAAAAATTAACATCTTATTCAGGTTAGGCTTGTCTTTAAATTCATTCAATTGTAATACAGACAACTGGGAACCATGATCGATGTCATAGTTGTTATTTCTTATTCAAACTATTAAGCTTAAGCATAGATGCAAAGAATATTTCATAAACAAAAAAACCAAATGTAATAATCAATTTACAAAACCAAATCTAAGATGAAATAATTTGTTTTCAAAACCCAATGTAAAACATAAAATTAAGCTTCAACATGTGCATGCATAAATACAAATACAGACCAGAAACCAAGTCAAAAAAGAAATTCTAACCCCCTTAAGTTATCATTTCAATCAAGAGGCATCTAGTGTTCTATTTACAATGATGCAGTCAAGCAAAGTTTCAAGAAAGCCATAGTTGCAGGGAAAAAATTAAAGTGAAATGATTTTACATTTACCCTTCAAAGAAGCATAATGTCAAAATGACATCTAAAGCCACCAATCAAATTGGGACACAAAGTAAATATTAAATGATATTAAGAAGTGAAAGTATAATTTAACCAAAAAAGACATACCAAGCAGGCATCGGAACCAGTAACTTTCATTCTCTTGTGCCGCTCACTTCTAGACAAGGCTTGGACATGCCTTTTGTTGTATGAGATATTTGATGGTTCTTCAACATTATTGTACCTGAATACATAATACAAAAAACAGTAACAGCTGACACCCAAAAAAATATAAATAATGAGTTTCTTGTGGGTTTGGGGAAGGGGGGAATTTACTTGATTTCCATATAAGGCGAGGCTTGTCTTAGCACGTAAGATGTATCACGATAATCTTCTTCCCCTGATTTCACTGTTAATATCTGCAAATTTAACAATTAAAGCATTTGAGATAATTTGAAACACAGCAGAACTACAAAAAAAATGAACACTTGTTTTCAACATTCCTACTCATCAAAAATTTATGAACAAACTTATTTAGCCAATTACATAAGACAGCATACCAATGCCATCCTCTTCTTGCCTTCCAAATACTCTCGCAGGTACTTGGTCAACTGTCCAAAGAAAAAAATCACATTCATAACATTTGATCCTAAGCAACTGGACTCAAGTTATCAAAAGACCTCCAAAGATAGCAATATTTCAGTGCCAATTAGAATATCTGATCTAACTTACAAACAAGATCCCATTCAAAATGCTTAAGAGAGAACTATGTACTTATAGTTGCCTCCAACAAAGCCTTTAAATAAGGTCCTTAAAAAAAACTTGTTTCGGTCATTAGATCAGATATGGACAACTAAGATGCACGATGGAGAAATGCGTCTCAGTAGCCCATATCTGATCTGTTATGTGTATATGTATAAATAAGCTATAGCCAAGTAGAGGACTAGTGACAAGAGTAAATCAGTAAAGGAAAATAATACCAAAGAGTTCTGGAAGTGCTTCTGCAGAGGCTTCTTAGGGTTCTTCTGATGCTCCAATAAAGACTAAAACCACAAAAAATGAAAGGGAAAACGACTATAGACACACAGATTATATAAAGAGAGAGCTAGGAAAACAATAAGTGCCTTATAAGTCATCAAAAATAAGAAGGCAAAATCATACAAGCAAAATGGTAAACTGGTTATGATCAAGTGCACATGAAGAATGAGGTATAGAAAACAAACTTAAGGCTACATACTCTCAAGCACAAGCCAAAGACCATTGATGTGTTGTTGATGAAATTACTTTCAAGCAATCTTACTCCCTGAAAATTAAAAAAAGAAAAAGAAAACCTAAGCCATAAATTTCAACATCAACCAAACAGCTAGTTCAGTGAGAATAATTCAGTCACATGAGTGAAACCTGATTCCCAGTTCTTTTTTCTCTTTCAGCTCCAGCAAGATCAACAATACTAAGGACACCATCATTTGCTTGATCATTACCCTCTCCATTAGACTTGTCAGCAACACCACGGATGTTAATAATACACTGCGACCGGCTAGAAGCATATAAAGAAAAAGTTGCCATAATACTGATATGATTGTAAAGAATTAATTATCGAATGTAAGAAACCATGTAGAAAATAGCCAAAATATAGAATACTTAAAGTCATTAATAACATGGAAACTCCAGTTAATGTAAAGAATTTTATAAGCTGACGCACTGCCACACCTTGATTGGCTATTTGCATTTGTCATACCAGTTGCACGCTTTAGCATTGCCTGAGCAATTATGGACTCTGCCTGTCTAGCATCAGAAATGGCTATCTGTGTACAAAAATAGAGTAGGTGCTAGTTATTTTTAATATCCAACCACATAATATAAAAAAACTCAAAAGAGTCTCAACCTCTTGTAGGCCTTTTAGTGTTGATTGCTGCATGCATAAATCACCTCCATTAGGAGATAAATCAAATACTCTCTCTCCTTTCCCCCTTTCAGAGCTTATCTCAAAAATTGATATGAAAAATGATCTGTGAAAGAATGAAGATGTCATACAAAATAAATCGAGTAATAATTCATACTAGAATCTCTCATTGATTTGATACTGCCTAATACCTCATAGACTCAGAATTACTTCCTCGTGTCTGCCTGAAAATGTGTTGAAGAGCAAGGGGCACCATACCGGGCTGCCTGGGGCACCCAAAAACCGTATGAGTCTTTCCAGAGCCACTAGGCCCCAATGCAGCAAGCATCCCACTTTTACCCCTCAGAAAATCATCCACCAATGGCCTCACCATCTTCTCATACACCTCCTCCTATCAACAAAAACACATATTCGACAAAAAGAAACAAAAAAAATAGATAAATTGTGATAATAGAAAGAAGAAGAAGAAAAACAACCGAAAATGAAATAGAACTTGCAATTGAGTTTTACAGCACTTTCTCTGTAACCAAACAAAACATAAAGGAGAACTGAAGTCTATAAAGGGAATAAAGAAAACCTGAGAGGAATCAGGGGAGAAGACGTGGGAAAAGCCGTCATAAACCTCCGTCTTTATGCGGTTACTCTCTTGCAACGCTAGCGGTGTTGATAGCGTCACAGACTGCGGATTATTGACCCTAACACAGACCTCCGCATCTTTGTTTTTCTTGCTCTGCAACGCTCGTCCAATCGCCGATTTCTTCTTTGCGGGGTTTTGGGGCCAAACGTTTTTGAATCTCGGCTTTGAATTCCGATCTCCCCCAACGCCACCGTGCAGAAGTGGACGAATCCTCAGAAAAACTCTGAGGTTCTCTGACACAGGGTCTGCTCTAGCGATGTCCATGGAGAGAATATCCTCGGTTGGAAAAGACCGTACTTTGGCCACATCCGCGGAAGGCATTTCCGGAGCGGACGTGGCTGGCGTTGGAGGAGGCCTAGCCCTCCGGTGTGGGTTACGCCGGATCGTCACCGTGTTTGGACACGTTGGTGGACTGTTGATGTCCATATTCGATGCGCCGGTGCTTGCTTCGTCTCTGCTGTACGCCTATCTTCTGCTTTTCACTTTAGCGCTAAAATGGAGCGTGTTTAAATTGAACACAGCACTTCAAAAAAGCAAAGCAAAATTACAATTTTATATTTTCGAATTTTTGTAATTTTTATAATTTTATTTAATAATAAATTTAATTTTAAAATTAAAAATAAATAACTTCATCCATTTTCTTTTCTTTTCAAATCCTATTTCCCACAAATAAACATTGACCCATTTAGACTGTACAGACCAAAGTTACAGTCTTATTCTTTGCATTGCAGAACACCTCATCTAATGAATCATTTGTTACAGAACACTTTGCTGCGACAATAAGACATGAAAAGATAAACTATAATTGCTAGAGCAATAACATATGAAATCGAAGCCCAAAAAAAACTTGTTTCATGAATGGTAAAGCCACTAACAATTCAATTGTGAAATTATTATAGAACAATGCCAACATGGCAATTTCAGTCCCACAACCATACAAATTGGACCTCACAAAGTCATTCAATATCAGGTGTAGTTCGCACAATTCTGTGCTCATTGGTTCACAAGAAACGACCAACTCTAATTACAATTTTGTATGGTATGATTAAAATAACTTACTGTTTTGAGTACTAACTTTATAAATAAATAAAATCAAATTCGTAGTTGTTGTCGCAACGGGTGAGTTAGTTAAAGTTATTAGCTTAAAATCTAATTATATATATTTTTTACTTCCAGTTTCTATAGTCTTCATAGAAATAAAAATATATATTAAATCATATAAATCACGCTAGTTCATAATTTCATTGACTACTTTTTAATGTGTTTTTTTCTTTTTATACAAGTGATATTTGTGGAATGGGGAATCAAACCTAAGACCTCAAGTGCATGAATAAATGCTAATTTCTAATAAGGTTTAACATAAAACAAATACATATTAATGAAACCAAAAAGCACATATTATAAAATGAAAGTACTAATTCTAAACTCTAGTTTGTATTGGGCCATTGGCTATTTGTGGCTGGTGGTTTTTTTGACTAAATTATGAATGCATTCCTGGAATTTCCCAACAACAAAAAAAGTCAAATATATAGGTTTGATTTTTTTAATCCCCAAAATTCTCCACAGGCTACAACCCCACCTCTATTAGAGATGTGGTACACAATATGATATGAAAAATATAATAAGCCTAGCATTTTTCTAGTCATTAAGGTAGTTTCGCCAAGTTAATGCATTCAAAGGCCAAGGTAATAGCCCAACGTGATTTATTATATTCTTCAAGAGTCATTACAAGTTACAAGAAGAACCAACACATCATATTACATTACACTAGAAAGTTACAAGAAGAAAGGACGAGACATATATTTACAGTGACAAAAGGAAAATGGATCCGTTTCAGTGAAAAGCAATAATATATTTTAACCCTTCTCCTACTATACCGCGGCAATGGCATTGGCAAGGCAACTACTTTGTTATGCACTCACTCACAAACTCTTGGCACAAAATTATTTGAACTTGGTGGGGATGCTGCGATTTTATTTACTCAAAAATATTAGTAGGCGCTAAAGGTTGGGAAGGCTTGGAGCAGAGCGTGGAGGATTAGTGAGCATGTGAACCACTTCCCTCATTGTAGGTCTTGCGGAGCTCTCATCCTCCACGCACATCATGGCAATCTTGAACAAGTGTATCACCCCTGCCAGTGGGTACCCACACAGCCTTGCATCCACCACTGCCAGTACTGATGCGGCATCCGACGGCTGAGACAGTTCTGATGTTGTTTTCCTCACCCACCTTACTATGTCCACCCCGTCTCCGAATTCACCCACCGGCTTCCTCCCGGCTATTAGCTCCAGCAGAACCACACCGAAGCTGTACACGTCGCTTTTCTCGTCCACCTTCAGTGTGTAAGCGTACTCTGTTCACACCAAAAACAAACACACACACACACACACAAGTTCATGTTCATCCCATTTGAAAGTAAAAGTCTTGAAAGTAAAAGTCTTGAAAGTAAAAGTCTAGAGGCCTATTCATGAGCCCAAAAACAATTCAAAATTATTTCTCGTTGGGTGTTGAAGGAGAAGAAGAAGAATAAAAGTTGGTACCTGGGGCTATGTAGCCATAGGAACCAGCAATGGAAGACATGCACTCGGAAGCACCAGCATCTTGCAAGAACTTAGCGAGCCCAAAATCGGCAACATGGGCCTCAAAGTCAGAGTCCAGCAATATGTTATTGGACTTGACATCCCTGTGTATAATCAGAGGTGAGCAGTCATGGTGGAGGTAACACAATCCCTTGGCTGCCTCCACAGCTATCCTGTACCTCCTCTCCCACTGCAAATGCCCTCCCTTTGACCCATGCAACAGCTCCCCCAAGCTCCCATTTGGCATGTACTCGTACAACAGCAAATTCGTGTCCTTGTTCGACACGTACCCCAACAGCCTCACGATATTTCGGTGCCTGATTCGTCCCAGCGTTTTTATTTCCGCCGAAAAACCGTGATCGTTACAGTTACGTCCGGTGCCCCGCCCCACTAGCCGTTTGATTGCCACGTCAACGCCGTCTGGCATGGACCCGCGGTACACAATCCCAGCACCGCCTTTGCCTATGATGTTCTCTTCCTTCAAACACTCCAGCACGTCCTCTGCTTTGAAATCGAGCCGTTGGAAGGCGGTGAGCCTCCAAGCCCTAGATTTCTGCATCTCTCTCCTTCTCATTCTATACACGGTGATAAACAAGAATAGCAGAACCGTAGCGAGTCCAATTACGACAAGAGCGATCCTGGACGAACCAAACGCCTTGTGGTGTGGAAACGACGGGCACTGGACGTGGCGCTGCGGGGAACAGAGATACGGGTTTCCAGCAAACGACGTGTCGTTGAAGACCATAAACTGACCGCCGATTGGGATTTTGCCGATGAAGTTGTTATCGGAGAGATCGAGCGTTGTGAGGCTGGTCATGTTGCGAATTTCATTGGGAATTTCGCCCGTGAGTTGGTTGCTAGACAAATTGAGAATGCTCAGGACTCTCAGCTTGTAGATGCCTCTCGGAATTTCCCCAATCAGATTGTTTCGACTAAGATCAGCGAAGGCTAGAGAGGAACACTGAGAAATTGAAGCCGGAATTTCACTGCTGAGGTTGTTGTCGCTGATATTGATCTTCGACAACGACTTCAGATCAAATATCTCCGTCGGAATTTCACCGGAAAATCTGTTCATCTCCAGGGAAAGAGTTTGCAAACTCTTGAGATTTCCAATCGCCGGCGGTATTTTCCCGGAAATCCGATTCCGAGAAAGAGTGAGAATTCCAAGTAAGCCCCCAGACATTTGCTCTGGAAGTTGGCCAGACAAGTAGTTATCACTTAGCTCGATCATACTTACATTGGGCAAACTGAAAATGCCAGCAGGAATAGTTCCAGTGAGAGTGTTTTTCATCATTCGAATTTTGACGAGCGATTTGCACCGGCCGAGTTCCTCAGGAATGGGCCCGAAGAAGTGGTTATCCATCAGAATCGCCGTCTTCAACTGCCCTCCTTTGCACAAATCCCGAGGAATCAAGCCGGTGATGTGGTTTCCGGTGATATCGAGGTCCTTGAGCCTTCCGTTCCGGCCGAGGTTCTCCGGCAGCTCGAACGTGAAGTTGTTCTCCCAAACCTGAAGCACCTCCAGATGAGGAAAATCACCGACGAACCTGGGAATTGGGCCGTAGAGATTGTTCTTGTACAAATTGATAAGCGTGATGTTCTTGAGCTCTGAGAAGCTCTGGGGTATCTCTCCGGTGAGATCGTTGATGGAGAGATCCAAAGACATGAGGCTGACCAAGCCAGATAGTTCCGGAGGTATGCCGCCGCTGAGACGATTTACCTGTAAAAACAGAGAGTTCAAATTCTTCAAAAGGCTGAGATTGGTGGGTATAGTGCCGCTGAGGTTACAGCTGGCCATGTCGAGGACCTGCAGAGAGCTCAACGATCCCAACTCCGGCGGAATTCCGCCGTCGTAACTGTTATAGTAGCCGACGTACATTTCCTTGAGATTTTTCAAACGAGCCAAGCTCGCCGGGAACTTTCCGGTGAGCCAGTTGCCGTTGAGGCCTAAATGCTCCAAGCTCTGCATCTCCGAGTAAGTCTCGGGGATGTTGCCGGTGAAGTAGTTCCCGCCTAGTTGGAGATGTTTGAGATTTTTGAGATTGACGATCTCCAGAGGAAGTGTGCCCGTGAAGTTGTTGTTGTAGGCGTCGAGAACTTGGAGCTCCGTCATTTGGAGCGTGATATTGCCGGGGAATCTGCCCCTGAAGACGTTGTTGGAGATGTTCAAGTGCCTGAGAGCGGTGAGGTTGGCCATCTGCATTGGAAGCCTCCCTGTGATGTTGTCTCCGGCGATTGTGAGGTTGACGAGCTTGTTGAGGAGCCCAATCTCCGGCGGAAGAGTGCCTAATAGAGGCTGATTGGAGACGTTGAGAGCAACCACTCGGAAGTCGCGGTCGCACGAAACTCCGGAGAAGGAGCAGTGAGATGAGGGAGACAACGACCAAGTGTTCCAGTCCTCGAGGCCTGAACCTTTGGGTCCAATCATGGCGGACTTGAGTTTCAACAGTGCGTGAAGGTCACTGTATCCGCCGCAGGCTGAGCACAAAAGGAAAATCATAAAGCAAATGGTGAGAATCTGGCAGCAACTGGAGCTTACCATCTTTAATTAATGGTGATGTTGGTTCCTTGTTTCGTTGTTTCTGCTTCTGCAGATAGCGTTACTTGTATACATGCGAAGTTGAGCACAATGCAATAATAATATGGTGGTTTGGCCTTTTGGGAAATTGGGAGGAGAATCGAAGAAGTATCAGCGTCAAAGTTGAATAATAATTATAATAATGGATAAACAAATGGAAAAACTGGGAAGTGATGAGAGTGGGAGAGAGCGAGTTGCATCTTGCATGAGGGAGGGACGCTTCTGATATCATGTCCTATGGCAAGCATAGCTATAGGGGTCTGTCCAGTAAGACCGGGCAGTTTGGGTTGCGGGCCCCACAGTACCCTACTCAGTTCACGGTGCTAGACGGATGGTTAAGTCTCTGTGTGGACTAGGGCGCGCCTTGTATATTGGTAGTACAGGTACCGGACAGACTGTAGTGGACGTTGAGATTGACGGCGTTAATGGGTTGTACTTTTTCCTCTCTCAATGGGATATGTGTGTTTTTGACGGCGTGATGGGGTGGTCGTCTCAATGACAGATACTTGATAATATTGGCGCTGGCAGTGGCAGAGATGTCTCTTCTCGTCCCTGCCCTCCCGTGTCAGCTTCACCAGTTTTACTTTGACGTGATATAATTTCTTCCTCCTTTACTTACTTACTTACTAATCCAAGTTTACGTTTTACTAATCCAAGTTTTTTAAAGAAGTTTTAGATTCTATGTTTCATGGTCTATGATAGTTAGTGATCAATCAATAATATGTCCGTCCGCTATGTTTCAAATACATTTTTGTTGCGTGGCTATTAGGTAGCTAGCCTTTTGGATTTTAGTGATATAAATGTGTGTCTTTTTTTGGGCCAGTGTTCAGAAACAAAGGTGGATGCGGATGCTACCTTTCTGAAAAGTGAGGGAGGAAGGATCTGAATGGGCTTGGGGCAAAGCTGGGCCCAGAGTAAAGAGTGTGCGTGTCTTTTCCCAGACGGTCAAATTTCCCTCTGACTCCATTTGGCTGTGAGCTAAAAAGTCCACTCTTCCTCTCTGTCCTTCATTTATCTGTCCTTTTCTTTAGCCTCTTTCACCGATATGGATCCTTGCGTGGTAATTTGACCCCTTATTAATCTTGTGAATGTGAGTTATGAATTATAGTGTTAAGTGAAACACCATGAGCACCGTTCACCATTGTGTTGTGTTGTGGACGACTTTGGTTAAAATAGTATACTTGTTTGACGACTTTATAAGAAAGTTGGCTTTTGTGGATATGGAGCTCTTTTTAATGATTTATATGCTAAATATGAAAGTGATGATTCTGCCTCAAGTGGTTCAAATATATTACTTGGGAATTGGGGGGAGGATGTGATTCCATAGCCGCACAATTTGTCACAACAGAGACAAAGCATTGATTCTTTCGTGTTTTCCTCCAAGCCTAGTTTTCTCCACTAGATTGGTTGGTTGGTTGGAACTTGGATGGATTGGAGAACAGATTCATATTCTCTCTCAGTCTCAGTCACTGTGAGAGTGTTGGAGAATAAAGACTGCTATTGATTTTAAAACGATAATAATAGCTATTAGTTTTATCAAAGAAAAACGAAAAGGAGGAGAATTTTCTTTTCTCCTTTAAAATGCAGCTTTTTAGTTTAGGGGTACTTGATACTTGGAAGAAGTCAAATTTGCCAAGTGCAGGCATGGTTTAAGCTGCTGGGAGTGATGATTATTTTAGTCTAATATTCGTCTTTCTTTACAGATTTAATTTGTTCCTCAAACAAGGTGCTACGCTCTATCCTTTATACTTGTAATTTTTTAGAGCATGAAAAGTTAAAATCATGGAAGGTTGGTTTCGTTTGGGACCCAAAAGAATGGAAGCATGGTTGGCTTTGGTACAAGGGAACCCCACCACAGCACCAATGAATGAGGATTGAATTTCAAGTCAGACTTCTCCTGGAACAAGTTGAGCCTAAATGTCTAGCACTAGCTAAAATGCCCTAGCTAAAGGGTGAAAAGACTCATCTTGCATTTCAAGCATTGGCGCGTGTTTGAGTGAGTCCACAGAGGTCCATACAAACGCACATGCTCGGCTTGGGGTCCAAAGGAAGCTTCAAATTTGTCTCTTCTGTGCTGCAAAATTCACGGCCAACAGTTGGAGCAATCAAAGTTATAATAATTTCAGAATGGGAATTTGGGTATTTCATTGGTGACTGATGTTTAATTACTTTAAACAATGGATTTCTTTTATTCGTTTCAAATCAATTATGCTTATTGACAATGGGGTAAAGTTAATGGAAAATAACTTTGAATTACATGTCTCATATTCGAACTTTTATGATACTTTGACAGTGTGTATGTAAAATTCTTTTTTTTCTTAGTACTTTAAACCATCACTTATATTCAAAAATAAAATAACATCATCGTTGTCATTCATCAGGAGGTTTCAGTTCAGCCTTGAGATGAGATGAGATGAGATGGGATGGGAGGGGAAGGTAGGGAAGCCACCTATGAAGAACAATGATGGCCTACTTTTACTTATTTCGGTAAAGACGACACACTTCTCTTTCATTCCGATTCGAATTATATGCGGAGTTGATAGAATGGAGCAGCAGATGATTTGCCCTCCCGTCATTCAAAGAACAACTTTTCAACATTGCAAATGATGGTGATGATGAATTATTCTCACCCAAGTGAACCAGTGTCCAGTGTCCAGTGTTCAGTGTTCAATCAAATAGAGTATAAAGTCCGCAAAGGGTCACATCCACCGTTCAGTCTTGGGCTTATATTTCAATTCACGGCCCCCAATTTCCTACAGAAAAAAAGGGTTGCAGTGTGGGTCTGAACAATTTTAAGCTGTACCATTTGAACACAATTGATCAATTTTAATGGGGCATTTTTATTTCTGGCACCCAAGACAGATTTACTTGGCCAAGGAAATAATAAAATAGTAGAAAAGAAAGGGATTATATTGTGTTACGCTTTAATATTCCTAACTTGAGAAGGCAAAGGCAACACATAGAATCAAAATCAATCATCTCTTCTTTTCGTCCCTAGGAAGCATGAAATTATTGAAATGAAATATACCCATTAATATGATTTAAATTGTCGGGCAGGGTGAAGTCAATAGCAGGGGTAAAATGGTGAAATCAATACGAAGCATCACATAAACGCACAGGAGATGATCTGAACGAATCTGGAATTTACAATAAATTCTTCTTCGAACTAAAGACAAACTGTCTACTCTGGCAACATATATCAATTGTACAACGAACTCGAAAGCAAACAAACCTAGAAAACTTGGATAGGTTTAACCCATTTCTACCCAATCATTACTGCAATCACCTAAGATGTTCTCCACTGCAGCTCAATTTGAAGCCGTCCATTCTTTGAGTCAATCAGATGGTATTTTTCATTGATTCTTCTATTGCTAACAACATCCGCCAAGTTTATATCCACATATCCAAGAGTTTCCTGATTGCAAGAAAAACACCAAGACTGACGGTTATTTAAAAACAGAGTCTACCACATATAGGATGAATTTGTTGCAGCAGTGTTTTAAGGGATGTAGTGATCTTTATGGTGGCTGCAAGTGTACCTTGGGATGCAACAGGCCCATCCTTGAGGAGATGCTAATTACTTCAACATGAAGCCTATCGCTTTTCGGTGGTTCGTCTAACATAAACTGAAACTCCTCTTCCCATCTTGGATCACGATTTTTCTTGACTATCTGTGTCAGTACCCAATGAAACTGTCAGTTCATATACAAAATGACAGTAGCAAAATCAAATAAAATGAACGGCATTCAATCTTTTCATATTGTATCAGCATCACAGTGGGTCGGAGGGAAACCCAATACATATCCATAGCAGTTTCGTCTATCATCCAAACTTTGTATTAACTAATACACATGCATGAACATCAATAAAGTGATACTATGTATATCGAACGCAGGATTTAACTATTTCTTCTCATTTTTTGACAAGCTAGGAATGCAGAAGTGAACCTGTAAAAAGTTGGGCCACAACAAATTAAGTTTTCATATAGGAATATGATGCCTCCTTTCCTCTCTATGCTTCTTTAGCATACAACAACTATAAACAAGAACAGGAGATACAACAAAAAAGACAAGGACTGCAACATCAGACTTATATACCTTGGTTCTTCTCTCCTCTCCTCTGAAGAGTATTCGCACTTGTGGGTTAGTGTGGTGCTTTCCTTCCACATCTTCAGCTTCATGGACTAAAACTACAAGCACCCCACCACCTGCAGGTGTTCCTTCAGGAGCCTTTTGTATGGCATTTGGATCTTCATCATCTTTAGGCATCTCATCCTCCTTAAAAGGTTTATAGATCAGTTCCACAACAAGCTGTCCACGTAACTTCTCATTTTGAGCATCATTTGCGTCCATGTTTTTCAGTATGTCAACAGTCACAACTTTAGGCTCATCGGGTGTAAGATCCTTTAGTGGAATGACATTCATACCCATTTTGTCGTGTTTGCCAATCTAAAGAAAATGAAACCCACATTATGATAAATATAAGGAGGAAAAGGTAGAAAATACTACTTAAAATCTAAAGGTACACTCTGGGCTTCTCGCTTATGCAGGTTTCTATCCATCGTGGAAAAATAAATAATCGCGTTAAAAAAATACCAGGCCATGGAAAATGTGTCTACTTCCTTTCACAAGTCCAAACAAAGAACCATACCTTTTCCCAATCATAAACTACAACCTCTAATGCTTGAGTCCCTGGGTCTCTGACAACCCAATTAAACTCTTGATTCCATTCTGGGTTCAAATTGTTGTGTTTCACAGCTGTTTTCTTTGAAGGAAGCTTGTCCTCAGTGAGCTTGACTTTCACATAAGGATCTGCTGCTCCTAATAAATCTTTCTTTTTAAGCTTTATTGCCTTTATAACTTTTACATGGAGAACTCCAACAGGTTTCCTCATAGCCCTGACAGAAATAAACAAAATTATTAAGTCCCAACAAACGACTTTACACATTTAGTCAAAATTAAACCATCACACACTTACATTGTAGGATCCATGATTGGTACTTCTAGGGCTTTGGGCCATAGGTACATGTTTGCCACTTGATCTTTAATAAGCTCCTGCGGAATCAAACAGGATTTTGAACACAGAAGTAAGCAAGAAGCAATAAGAAAACCAAGTTTAAAGTAAGATATTCCATGAAAAAGTAATCAATGCATCTTGTTTTCTATTGCAAGAAGTCATATCTTGATATAACATAAATACTAATCATCTTTCGACTTACAAACATGGACATATATGATGCAAACACCAATCAAATCACAGCTTAACCTCTGTAAAAGTTAAAAAATCTACCTGGACAAACCTATATAGGCCAGGAATAGCCATAGCATCTGCGCCAAGTAGTTTTAATCCAAAGTCAACATGTGGCTGCAAAATCATAATGAGATAGCTGAGAAGGGAAAATAAAAACCAAAACAAAATGGAAGTAAGGAGACGGGAGATATGCCACATTATAGATAACACAACAGAAATATAATTCTGGAGGGTATGATCTTCCACATCCAAAACCCCAGTAGAAATCTCTAAAGTCAGAAATATAAATATATACCACTTCTCAATTTCAATTAAATTGAGGCCATATGGAATCAAAATTTGGAAAATAATGCTGTTTTGAAAAGATTACACATTTCCGACTAGAAATGATAGGTACCAGACTACCAAACCCCAGAATGTTGCATATTTAGTTATATAAATATACCATGTCCCCAACTACCAACTAACTAACTGCTGTAATTTGTAAAACAATCATCAAGCATGTTAGCAATATGAAAATGGAATCAGAACCATACCTTCTCCATTAGAGACACAAAAATTTTTGAAAAACAAGGAAATGCTGGAACCAAAGGCTTCATGGTGATACGTGGAGAAGCAAACACTTGCAAATCAACCACCTACGACAAATCCAAAGAATCAATGCTCCATTCAAACTTTGAAACCAGCAATAACTCTCTACTCAGTACTTGTATTGTAACTATTGATTCAAACTTTAAAATATACTAATTCTTTAATGGCACACACCTGAACTGTGGCTCTTAACCCAAATGCTTTAACTGCAACAAGGATGTTTGGATTGCCTGCCCACTTCATTGATAGTTCCATTATCAATTCCTTCTCACCAGTGATATAGACTTTTATTCCTGGCATATAATGAAAACCAAGAATAAGTAGTCCGCAGTAGACTTGCATAGCAGGGGAAAACAGAACAAAGTCCCAAATAAGCCAGACATAAAATTTAAGGTGGATATCATCCTGTTCACAATCTGCTAAATCAAAAGGAACAACCGAAAAAAAAGGTGACAAGAAGCATATAACGAGGGATGGGATCACGAAAACGCAATGCAGTTGTACAGTTATGTGTGTGTGTGTGTGTGTGTGTGTGTGTGTGTGTGTAAGAGAGAGAGAGAGAGAGAGAGAGAGAAGAACCTTGAAAAGTTGGTGGTAAGGAGCCCAAGGAAAGTGCTTCAAACTCAACGGAATCAATTTTGTATTTTGGAATTTGCTCAGCAATAATGGGCTTTGCTATGGTCCTTGCAGTTTTGCAAATTGCCTGAAAAATTGTACCATTAACACTCAACACAAAAGACTGAGCAGAAACACCCACGAAGAATATCCGAACACTGTTATAACGGGTATGCATACCTTGTCCAGGTAAGGCCACATAAGCTCAATAAATTTATTAAGCCAGTCAACCTTCACATAAACAAAACTATGATAAGCTTCTTGTGACATTTGGAACACAATATATCAATGTGGGAAACTAAAATTTCAAAGATTAACATACACGATCATAGTCTGGATTTTTAACCCACATGGGTATCTCCGGAAGCAGCCGTTGCAAAGTATTTGAATCTTGCCCAACCAAAGGACGAATACCAGGATCCTAGATTCAATATCATTAGCAATTAGATATAATAAGGGAAATGCAACTTAGTAAGTAGGTTTTTTTTTCTTCGATATACAGCATTACACATAAGCTCAAACTTGGTTTTAAAACATAAAAATTGACATGTTTTCGTTGTCTATGCAGCAGTAGAAGCACGGAAATACAGAAAGGGGGACAATTTAACCAAACAAAAGCAGAATTAGCAATGAAGAGGAAGGAAATTGAAGAAGAAGAAAGGAAGATAGAGCCGACCTTGACGTCAGTTGGCTGGAAGTAGATGAAGAGGTAATACCCGATCACAAGCCCAATTGAAGTTCCAAATCCAAAACCGCAAAACCCCAAAATCGAACTCAGAATGCCCATCTTTAATCTGCCCTCAGAGTCTCAGACCAAGCCGAAATCTCTCAGAAATATACAAGAAAAAAGATGGTAAAAATGGAGTGCGAGTAAAAACGCCTCTCGAACTACAACTCCACGACTAGGAGAGGAAAAAAAGAGAGACTGTAATTGAAGAAAATGATCGCATCAGATCACATATCTGAATTGCTGTGAATTCTTAAACTCATCATGTTTGAGGGTGGTGAGTGTAGGACAAAGAAATGGTTAGCCGCTTGGAGTGGTAAGACGACAATCCTTATCTGAAAAAGCATTAAAGGAGGTGCATTTATTCTTGGCGAGAAATCTTTCACTTGATCCACACACACACACACAACACAACCGCTGGCGTGGGGTTGAATTCTCTCAATTGTCGGTAACGCCTAAGTGCTTCTTTGGAGCGCTCTGATGTCTCATCTACTCTCTCTCTGTCCAATTTCAATATCATTTGTTTCACAATAAAGACAGGGCCCGTTTCCGGTTACAACGTTACGGGATCGTGGGGAAATTTTAAATTAGTGAATTAATAAAAATATCTAAAAGGCGGATAATGACTGCTTTCTATTTTGGGCTTTTGGCTTCTTGCTATTTTTATTATTTTTTTCGCCTTTTAATTCTTTTTTTTGTTGACATTATTACAATTACGGTTATATAGTACTTGCCTTCCATCTTATCCGTTCCAAAGTTGACTTTTTTTGCATCAAAATTTGACTCCTAGATTTGCCGACACCAAAAGAATAGACATTGCGTAAGAATCTAATGTAGTCCTTACCGCCAGTATATTCTTCGTTTTTTTATTGGCTGTATTTTTCAATATTATAATGAGGAACAGTTAGTTTTGTGGTGAATAATTATATAACCATGTATTTTTTTCTTCATACAAGCGATATGAGAATGGAACCTAGCACTTTGATAGCATGTTTACTAATCCGTAATTGGATTATGATGAATTGAATTGATGATGAACTGAGTTGAGGATAATTAGATTTCGGATTCCTATTGAAGTTGTTTACTAAACCATATGGAATGGGGGTATGCGTAATACTAATTACTAAAATGTCATCGTTGTTCGGTTAAAATAGATGACAATTTTGGAAGTTTGAAAATTTTGTGAGGATATAATAGGTAAAAAAAATGAATTCCTAATGGGTTAGTTTTCTATGAGTTAAAATACCACATTCCACCCAATAATTGAATTTATCTAAAATCAGGAATTCAATTCCTAATTTTGTGTGGGCCCCACTTACTTTTTGATTCCTTAATGTGAAGTAAACGCATGACTCTTCTATATGTGGAATTCAATTCTTGATGAGAATTTTAATTCCTGATTAGTAAACACACCATAAATATAAAATAAATGCTTATAATTACTTGAAGTACAAACAAACCCTAAAACAATAAGAAAAATATTTTTCTACTAAATCAATGTCCATTGATAGAAAAGCCCATTGAAAAGGACCTCTTTGTCGACTGTAGCCCTTTTGTATTTTTTGGTCAAATTAGGAGTTACACCTATATTATTTCACCCCATCAAGTATTTTCATAAAAGAAATTATCTTCCTTTTGTTTTTGTTTTAAGATCGATAGTATTTTATAAATAAGATAAACAAAAATAAGTACAAAACAACTAAGGTGTTGAATATTGATACAACTTCTTTAATGATCAAATGCAATAAGTTGAATTAATCTGGAAAGAATACGCACACCCCAAAAAATGATGAAAATCTCTGAATCAACAATCAGATGCATATGTACTCAAACCAGCAATAAAGATTTGTCGCACAACGACAGAAATTGCAAATCCGTATCGAAAGTCAAAAGCCAAAATAAAATAAAATATCCTAAACAAAAAATCAAACCACATCAAACTCCTAAATAATTCATGAAAATTATTAGACTCAAACAAACTAAGATACAAGACCACCGCTCCACATACTTTCAAGCAACCTAAAGAGAACCATAACGTCATACTGACTTAACCCAAAATGCCGCACTGGCTAAATCCAACTCGACCCAACCCGACATCATCTCTGCTTCGTAGCTCCAAATATATATCGAAGACTAACAACTGGAGCTAAATCTTTGCATACATGAGCTAAAAAGACGACAACTATATTATGACGACGATAATATTTCATGACGACTGTTTTGACATCACAAAACAAAACGAAAAAACAAATAATCTAAAGGAAAGGAAAGGAAAGGGGTCGAGAGGGGAAAAATAAAAGGGATATAGTAGAAAGGGTGGTCCCCGACCCCCAATTTTTCCTTAAGATTTTATGAGGCAACAAAAGAAGGGGGGTGCATGACCACTTTTTAGGAGAACTTATTCAAATCACATTCTTGACGGTCCAGCCCAAAACCTAAAAAAGAAAAACAAAGAGTATATTTCTTAAAACATCGAATTCAAGTTTTCAACCATGATAGACAATAAATATTTTATTTTTCCTTTTTTTATATTAAAAGAAAAAAACAAATTTACAAGTCTCTCTCCGTTATCAGTTTGGGTATGGAAATTGGTATTTGGTGGTGCTGTCATATTGGTAACTAATATAATTAGGGTATGATCTTAACCTCTTGAATTAACGGTCGCTTTTGATGGCAACCACATTTGCAAGCGCATCAACATCATGTACCACTACTACTATGCTACACGTCTCCATCCAATCCAACACCATATATAGTAATCAAATCGTTAATTTATGTAACACGGTATCATCATGAGGTAATCATAAACAAACTAGAACATAAATCCATCATGAATGATATAAAATGGTACAACTCTTCATGCCCCAGAATATTCTTTTATTTATTTATATATATATATATATATATTTTATGAATGATATAAAATGGTAACAAAAAGAATTTCACCAATAAAAAAACAAAAACAAAAACAAAAAACAGAAACACCCAACGATTCCTCTCCCTCCTCCCCTGCACTTCTGTAAAACCTAAAAACTTCAACCTCCATTAAACGTTCCCTTCTGAAAAACCCAAGGACTTGTTATCATAAACAAATTAGTTTAAATTAATCTTTTTAATTCTAAGAACAGGAAGGTTCCACCAGAAGCAAACAAGGATGAGATTTACGACCCTTTTTGCTTTATTCCTGTTGACATGGATTGTCAATGAAATTGAAAGAAGAAAAAAAAAGGCTTATGATAGAAGGAACTAACTTCAAATCTAAAAGTTTCAAAAATTCAAAAACCCAAATGGTTGTCCTCCCATCGTTGTGCTACAGTGTCAAGATCTAATTACGAACATGAAATATCATAACCAAACTTGCAACCTTGCTTAATTAAAATTTAATCTGATGCGGTGGCAAAATCGAAGTACATGACTCGGCCTATACCAAGAATTCCATAAAGATTGGCAGCGTTCTAGGGTTTCTTTTTGCTGTTTGGGGGTAGGAGGAGGCTAGGGGTTTAGCGTTGAATGATGTTTGGTGTTTTTACCTTCTTTGAAGCAAATGACGAGTCGTGCAATGCCCGGACATAAGCCCAAGTACGAATTAGCTGAAAACAAACAAAACCCAACTGTAAAAAATAGTCGGCCCAAGGAGCCCAACGATATAAAAACTAGGAGACTCGATCAAGATGGCCCAAAAATATAGTAAACGACATAATTGTATAGGGTACATGAATTGATAAAAATAGGCACGCGGCACGTCGTATTTAAAAATGGGGGAGGTGGAATGGAAGGAACATGATCTGGATCCAATCTATAAAAAGGAGGTAAAATTACTTTATTTATCAGTTCACGATTCATCTTTTTTTAAGACACCGACCTTTTCATTGTTTGTGATATATATTATTTGTAGATGATGATGGGCCTTTATGTCATGACTCAGCAACAAATATATTTTACTTTATTATCATTATCAGACCTTTTTCTTTAATCACATCAATTGGGATGGTATCTAAGCAAGGAGCATGTGACAATGTCAATGTTGATATACCACTAATAGCTAGAATAGAAGGCCGCCTAAACTAGACATATATATATATATATTATAAATGACAAGTACAATGCTACTACTGGTTCGAATGAATATATATATATATGTGTATTGCAGAGAGAAGAGAGCACACTGAGGAACGAGTGTCTTATTAATTAGCCTAATTTAATTGTTATATATCAATGGTCGGTGGGGTGCATGGTAACAGCTCACGTCACCACCAATATCTGAACGCGTGAGACACGCTTCATATAATTCAGAATTACGTATATCATGTATGTGTCCATTAATTTTATTAAAAATTAGATTTAATTATTTTTCTAGAAGCCCCTTTACGTACCGTCAGACCTTGGCATGGGATGGGAGGTAGTGTAGGGGAAGCACCAAAATATATGCTTTCGAAAGTTGGAGTTTGATGCATGCGTTGCGTTGCGTTGCGTGTAGAAGAAAACAAGTATTCTGCAGTTTTAATTAGCCTGTTTTTATGCATCCCTCGTCCTCGTGTCGTGGTATGTCCGGTTTTCAAGTAACATTCATTAATCATATTTGACAGACATAGGTGAAGGGTTCAAGGGTAGGTAAATATGTAATGAAATAAAAGAAACTTAAAGTAAAAATAATAATTATCATGACCCATCCCATGCACTGGCGTGGACCCATAAATTTTTTAGCAAAGGTGCAATATTGACTAAGTATGAAAAATTGTTTTTCGAAATAATCATTTTCTCAAGATAATTTTTGGCGGCTTTTATTCCTTACACGTCAAATAAGAAAACTTGATTTTATGGGATTTTAGTACGAAGTATATATTGACTTAATGAGTCATCATTTTTAGCCTAAATCATATTTTGCACTAAAATCGAATTTTCATATTTTGATTTGGTGGGCATTTGATTTTCTAGTATTTTTATTTGAATTCAAATAAAGGGTACTTCCTTACTTACATTGTAAACTTAAGTAAATTGAGTAATATAAAAATAAATAAAAGTAAAAGGACAAAGACATTTACTTAAATGTTGAAGATGAAAATAAGGTAATCTGTACAACAGTTGAGCAAATGGGCAATTTGAAGCACTTATAATGGTTTTTCAAGCTAGGGGAGGTGCAGCTGCACCTCCTTGCGTCTTACTAGATCCGCCTATGATCCCATGGACATTGTCACACACACCACACGTTTTTCTTTTCTTTCTCAAGGAAGGAAGGGCACACTCATTCCTTTTGCCACTCAAGGCAAAGGGCTAATGTCGACATTGCTTGCTGCTTTAGTTTTCATTTCTCCTTATTATTACTATATATATGCATATGCATGAATATTAACGCAATGTTGGTCGTGCATGGCGGCTAAGTCTTTGTCACGCTCACTGACTGTGCCGTGGAAATGTAATTAATTGACATTTGAGTCATCTGACAAACCAAACTGTACAACTTTCGGTGCCTGCAGGCTGCAAGGCGTGGTAAGAATTGAATCTGGCTGCGTCTGTATTGTATATATACATTACAGGTTGTAATTCAATCACGACAACAACATGTCAATTGCTCCCGCATAGTCATTGCATCGGAAGATTTTTATTAGTCAGCAGTGGCTGAAAAGATGCCACGTATGTAGTAGTATCATGAGATCAATCTCGTATTTTGATATAAAAATTGCTAGCCATACCATATTTTGTTATATATCACAGCTCGAATAAATGTGGATCTCATATTTATGGATTTCATCTTTATTAAAAAGATGATACGTATATAATATTTTATATAAATGTGGTTTGCATTCATCGTTTGATATATATATATATACAAAATATCGAATACGTACCAAATTAAATTGTATATTTAGTACCACTACCACAGCCAATTGTTTCCCCATCCCCACAAACAATTACAAATTAAATTAGATGAAATGCTACTATTTTAATAAAGTTGCCATCACTCTCCTTCCCTTCCCTGCAAATGAGGTCAGGGGGACGATTATAAAAGAATGCTGGGACCCAGCTAGTTGAATACGTGTGTGGCTAGGATGCGTCGAGTCCCTATCTGCCCATCCTAATTACGAGAAACCCGAGGACGATATCAATCGCCAAAATCTCCCCAACGGCTATTTCCAATTGTACGATCCAACGGTGAACCGCGAACTGGCGGTTGCCGCCCTACAGTATCCTTGGTCTCTCTCTCGTGGACCAAGAGGGGTAGGGTAGAGGCAACGGTTGTCTGTCAAATATGACATCTATAATCTTAAAATATTTATAAAAATAATAAAATACAAAGTAAACAATGAATAAAGTAGCCGTTGGGAGCCTTCCTCTATAAAAAGGAGGTAAGAGGTACAGAGCTAAGTTCAAGATATTCCTCAAGGTCAAGGTAGCGCAAAGTATACCAAAATAATTCAACCCTTTGAATCAGGGTTTCTGAGATCCGCTCCGGATCAGAAGATTTATTTACTCATTATCTCTCTAATTCTAATCAGTGTGCTAGATTAAAATTCCTAGTTTTAACTTACTTAAACGTCTAAATTTCTTGTTACCAACTTTCTGTAGAAAAATCTTGCAAATCAAAGAGTTTTTCTTCTCTCCATTCAAATTGCAAATCTTCAGCTTTTTCTCTACGTGCTTTGTTGATCTTTATCTTTCATTTTTGTTATATATTCACTTCATTAGACATCAGAAAAGCTGCAATCTGGCTATGGAGGCTGTTGTTGTAGACCAGTCAATCTCTGCCTGCAAGCAGATTAAAATGATCAGAACAACCCCAAGATCCTCTGAAAATCTTGCTCCCATAAATTACAACATCCATGGAGGTCTCTTGCAGGCTCCTCCTCCACCTTCTCTCTCATTTTCATATAACCCTCCAGCTTCTCTCTACAATAAATATCGGTACCAGCAACTTCAACAAGTACAGAGGCAGCAGCAACAACACCCACCTCTCCTTCCTCTGCCGGTTCCAAACAGACCTCCTCATCATCACCAGTCTCTGCCATCTCTCCCATCTCGTACCCGAGGCCTCTCTCGCCCTCCCCCCACCAGAAAGGCCAACAACGCCAGAAGCCAATCTCTCACACCCAAGAAACCAAAGTCAAAGCCCTCCAAGAAAGAAGAAGCTAAGCAAATATCTGACTGTTTGATCATTGCTTCCTCCAAGAAAGAAGAAGCTAAGCAAATATCTGACTGTTTGATCATTGCTTCCACCAACCGTTTGGGACCCGACCCCAATGATCTTCCCAAAGATGTTACTAAGGTTTTGATGACATCATCTTCATCTTCATCTTCATCTTCGTCATCAATTGGTAATATGAGTGATCTTAGTGGTGGTGGTGTTGGTGTGGAAGATATGGATAAGTTTTCAGGTTCCATTTTCACTCTCTCGCCACCTCCGAGTAGCTTGCCTCTCCCGAGGTTTTCTCTGCAGCGAAGGCTCAGTCGCAACGCCGAAGCTGCGGGGATCGACGCAGGAGCAACGGACAATCTCCGCCGTCTGTTACGTCTCCGCTGAACGGCTGAAGTTGTTGTTTGGTTTAGTACGTAGTGGTTTTGGTGGTGGTGACCATGGTTTGTTTGTAGGTTGGTGTCTTTTTGTGTAAATAAAGGCTTCGTGGGAGGGTGATAGTATCATGAAATCCCTCTCCTCCCTTGTCCTTCCTTCTCCTTGAGGAAATTTGTGATCACCACCTGTGTTTTTGATTGGGTGCACAAAAAAAATACTTCAAGGATGTTTTTTTTTCTTTTAATTTGTTTTTCGTTTTGTTGGTCAATCTCGTAATAATATAATTTATGACTAAGAGAATGGTTTTAGTTTTTGATTTATAAGTTATATAACCTATACAATTGTTCTGATTGTAACTTGTATTTATTCCCAAGGAAATAATTGTAATTTGTATTTGTATTTGTTCCGAAGGAAATACAAAAACTCTTGCAGTAGATTCCTGTGCAGTAGGAACGTGATAACAAACATTCCACCATTTGGTTGGTAGCAATCTGTTTTCATACCATGCTGCAAAAGAGTTGAAAAATATCAATCCTTTCACCGATTTCTACAATTTGGGTCCTGGGTCAAATATTTTCTTCAATTTGGGGATTATTTAGCTTAATTGGGAGTTATTTGATTCAATTGACAATTATTTGATTCTTACCATAATTAGGGATTTGATTTAAATCAAATATCTAATTACGTAAATATCTCCAAATTGGGGAAGTATAATTCATTTCAATTTGTGAAATTATTCTTCCGAAACCCTAGCCTCCGAGGCTCCTATAAATACATCGGTACACTAAGGTTTGAGGTAATTCTAAACCTACGTCTAAACTTCTATCTCAAAATACTGTAGAAATTCTATCTCCAAAACCCTAGATGCCATAACTCTTTCTCCCTCTCACACAAGGCTTCGGCTACCACACACGGCTCTGGCCATCCGGTTCACACCATACATACATTTAGCTATTATTTTCCTACAAACACTTGAACTAACTTAGGCATAAGAGGGCCTTTGGCAAACACCCCTCGGGTGTGGTCCTCTTATTCCGATTTATTTTGCAGGGAGAAAGAGACAACGAAGAAGAAGACGAAATCTTAGACGAATATTCTAGTGGGATGAAAATTGCTCCCACAATCGTAGAAGAAAATTAATTAGTATTAGAAAAACACCTGTGTGGAATAATATGTATGCTAATTGCTCATACTCATTGTGGCCACATTTTTCAAATGTTTTGGCATCTGTCTGTTTAAGAGGAAAAATTAAAAGAAGATTCCCAAACAAATAGCATAGGCTAGCACACCTTAAATGAAAACTGAAAAGCATAGCTACCTTTTGCAATTGCACTTTGTCTTCACGAATTATTGATATACCTAGCTTCCTTCTAATATCCTGCAACAAGGACACATATAGAGTAACACCTAGGTGCTCCTGTGATGCCGACAACTCAATCCAAGCATCGGCATCTCTCTCTGTGTGCCGGTACACACACAAAAGCATACATAGATTAAGTCTAAAATGATTATGAACTTTCTTCTTTTGCATCACTACATAATCAACATCAGTACGTCGTATCCACCAAATGCAGCCACTGTGGAAGAAGAACTTGTTAGTTTTGAGCATACCTCAGCAGTGGTTGTGTAGGATATTTCTCTTCCGGAGATCTCTGAAGACCGTGAACATAATAAACTCTCAAACCTGGGACTGGGAGTCTCCTAAATCCCAAGATTGCCCTATTTTTATTTTAATATTTAGTATGATTTTTCAGTTTTGGGCTAGCTTGTTGAACCTTCATTAGTTTATGAAGGCCCAAATTTCAAAATCCAAATAAGAATTTAGAAACAAGCTCATAAATTATTTTTTTTCGGGCTGTAGCTATTTTCTCCCAAACGTGGGTTGGGCAGCAGCTGCAGGGCCATGTTCACTCCATGGAGCTTCTGTCAATCCAATCAAATCAATATCAATCGATCTGGCAATGCCATGGTGATATATGATCTTTTTTTTTCCGAGCCATGGTGATATATGATCCACGGTGTCTTTTTATTATGGATTGAATTTCTTTCCACACAACACAACAGCTCAAGTGAAGGCTACAAAAGACGGCAATAAAGATTCAAAAGTCAGTTAATAAGTAGCCGAGTTGTTTGTTGGCTTGCTGCCCAACTAAGTTATAGCTTTGGCATTTATTGGCGGGAAATAGACTTCACAACCTCACCTAGGCCTGTTCCTTTTAGGCTCATCTAATTCCAATTGCTCGCTCTCTCCCTCTTTCTGTTCTCCGCAACTTTGACTAAGTAAATTTTTCTACAAATGGAGGAAGTGGAGCTTGCCTTCAATAAGCTTTCAGACGGAGACAGCAACCCACTTCCGAAAACGGAGCAACAAATGAGTTCAAGCAAGCACCGCAGTGTTTCATTAGTCGGCCTTTTTGCTGCTGCTGATAAAGTGGACTTTGTCTTGATGCTTTTCGGAAGTGTCGGGGCCTGCATCCATGGTGCTGTGCTTCCTGTATTCTTTGTTTTGTTCGGTCGTATGATTGATTCTCTGGGACATCTGGCAAAGCATCCTCAACAATTGTCTTCCCGGGTTTCCCAGGTAAAATCAAACATTTCATTTTCTGACTAGCATTTGAATTTGATAACCCTTTTCGCCCCACACTGGACACTAATTTGGTTGAATTTTGGAGGTTAAATGAGTTTCCATGATGTTCTGCTTTGGTAAATTTATCAGTCATCTCTCATATCATATATGTATGTTTATATGTTTAGTGTTTCTTTTGGTTCTCTTCTCATTTACAGTCGACAACTGTAATATCTGACTTTTGCCCCTTCTCATATTTGCATGCAGCACGCTTTGTACTTGGTATATCTTGGACTCATTCTTTTTGCATCAGCCTGGATTGGTATGCTTGATCACTTCAGTTTTCAAACTCATCTTGCTGGCAAAATTATCTCTTAGAGCGAGCAACCAACTACTTTTCTTAATTTTATTCACTTTAAACAGAGCATCAATGCCCTGGTTGACATTTTTTTGATTTTCAGGTGTCGCTTTCTGGATGCGAACCGGGGAGAGGCAGACAGCTCGTTTGCGGTTGAAGTATCTCCAGTCAGTTCTAAAACAGGATATCAATTTTTTCGACACTGAAGCCAGAGACACCAATATTATTTTCCATATTTCAAGTGATGCAATTCTAGTACAAGATGCAATAGGTGACAAGGTAATTAGCGGGAAAAAAAGAAAATGATGCTATGCTTGATTCTGTAGTGAAATTTTCTGAAGAAGAGGGTACTTAAAGATACATAGAGATGACATAGTTAATTAACATTGTTCCTTGTATCTTGATGCAGACAGGCCATGCTCTGCGTTACCTCTCACAGTTCATAGTTGGGTTTGGCATTGGGTTTACATCGGTATGGCAGCTTACGCTTCTGACCTTGGCTGTGGTTCCATTGATAGCTATTGCAGGGGGAGCTTATACAATAATCATGTCTACCTTGTCAGAAAAGGGTGAGGCTGCTTATGCTGAAGCCGGAAAAGTTGCTGAAGAGGTAAACTGTACTTGGTGTATCTTCTGCTACGCTAGGTAGTTCTTGTAATTTCAAGCATGATATATATATATATATATATATATATATATATTTGAGAATCTTTAATTTGGGGCTGAATTTTTATGATTCTGGCCACCAATGCATCCTTTTATTTTTCTCTCACATTTTGCATGGACCAGGTTATTTCGCAGATTCGTACTGTGTACTCATTTGGGGGAGAGGACAGAGCCATTGAAGCATACTCAAATTCACTTAATAAGGCCCTCAAACTGGGTAAAAAGGGTGGATTTGCAAAAGGAGTTGGTGTAGGCTTTACATATGGACTGTTGTTTTGTGCTTGGGCATTGCTTCTCTGGTATGCTGGCATACTTGTAAGGCATCATGACACAAATGGAGGGAAAGCATTCACAACAATTATCAATGTCATCTTTAGTGGATTGTAAGTCCACTCTAAATATGTAATGGGGTTCCTTTGTTGGTTTGGTATTTTTTTTTTGTTTCCTGATTAAAAGCAGACTTTTTTCTTCTCTAGTGCTCTTGGTCAAGCTGCTCCAAACCTTGCTGCCATTGCTAAAGGCCGAGCTGCTGCGGCCAACATCATGAAGATGATTGAGACAGATTCTAACTCCTCTAAGGTCTCAGACAATGGAATAGTATTGCCAAAAGTATCTGGGCAGATTGACTTTTGTGAGGTTGGTTTTGCCTATCCATCACGACCTAATAGGGTGTTAGAAAATCTGAGCTTTTCTATTGGCGCTGGCAAGACTTTTGCTGTTGTTGGTCCCAGTGGTTCTGGAAAGAGCACTATTATATCCATGATCCAACGATTCTACAACCCCATTTCAGGTTTATTTAATTAATCTCTTTAAGTCCAAACCATGACTTAATTATAAAATTCATTAGTTTTCTTCTTGGACAATCAATTTTTGACTAAAAGATCTTGTATCGCTTATGAACCAACTTTTGCTAGGTAAAATACTGTTGGATGGACATGATGTTGGAATTCTCCAATTAAAATGGTTACGAGAACAGATGGGATTGGTAAGCCAAGAACCAGCATTGTTTGCCACCACCATAGCTGGTAACATTCTGTTTGGTAAAGAAGACGCGGACATGGATCAAATCATAGAAGCTGCTAAAGCTGCAAATGCACATTCTTTCATTCAAGGATTACCAGATGGCTACTACACTCAGGTGCACCATTCCATCATCATCATCTCCTCGACTGTGTTATTATATATGAAACCATATATACTTAACTAATTAAATTGAAGTGTCTATGATAGCCATAACCAATTATTGAATTCAGGCAGGAGAGGGAGGAACTCAGCTTTCAGGAGGGCAAAAGCAGAGAATAGCTATTGCAAGAGCAGTGCTGAGAAACCCAAAAATATTACTCTTAGATGAGGCCACAAGTGCTCTTGATGCAGAATCAGAACAAATTGTTCAGCAGGCACTAAACAAAATCATGTCACATCGAACTACAATCATTGTTGCTCATCGGCTGTCCACTATCCGAGATGTGGATGCAATCATTGTCTTGAAGAATGGCCAGGTTGTTGAGAGTGGTAACCATTCAGAATTGATATCCAAGAAAGGGGAGTATGAAAATCTGGTGAGCTTACAGGTATTGGAACGTGTTAAAGATTCCACGTTAACATCTGGCCATTCTTCAAGAGATTCTAGCTTTCGAGAAACCACGAATAGCTATCAGCAGGAGGCTAAGCCAATCACAATAAGACAGCAGAATCCAAGCTCTGTTCCTTCTGCATCAATATGGGAATTAATAAAACTAAATGCCCCTGAGTGGCCCTGTGCGATACTCGGGTCAGTTGGTGCAGTTCTGGCCGGAATGGAAGCTCCTCTTTTTGCTCTTTTAATAACTGATATATTGACAGCGTTTTATGCTCCCACTGGTTCTCAAATTAAACAAGAGGTTAAAAAGGTAGCTCTCATATTTGTTGGAGTGGCCGTTGCTACTGTTCCAATATATCTTCTGCAACACTATTTCTATACATTGATGGGGGAGCGGCTCACAACTCGTGTTCGCTTATTAATGTTCACAGGTTCTTTTCTACTCACCATTCAAACCTCAAAGCTCAAAGCTCAAATTATATTTCCAATTTCAAGTGCAAAATGATAGGTTAGTAAAATTTAAGAATGATAAACCTACAAATAGAGATGGAGACATGCTTGCAATTGCAATAAAACAACTTGTTCATTGTTCACATCATTTACATTACGAAATCTAGAAAATCTGAGAAATCTTTCTTGTTTCAACTGCAGCTATGCTTTCCAACGAAGTTGGTTGGTTTGATTTGGATGAGAATAACACTGGAGCACTGACCTCAATTTTAGCAGCAAATGCAACATTAGTGCGAAGTGCTCTAGCTGACCGTCTATCAACAATTGTGCAGAATCTAGCACTCACAGCGACTGCATTTGTTATTGCCTTCACCCTAAGTTGGCGTATTGCAGCTGTTGTCATTGCCTCTCTCCCACTACTTATTGGAGCTTCCATTGCTGAGGTCAGAGTCACATACCACCATTATGTTAAAGCGCATAATGTATATGTTTCAATCATCTAATTGTTTTTTTTATCCTTAATCCAATATATGTTGGTTTTCTTGATTTTATATCTGCAGCAACTGTTTCTAAAGGGATTTGGAGGGGACTATAACCGTGCCTACTCTAAAGCAACGGCCGTGGCACGTGAAGCAATTGCCAATATCCGTACGGTTGCTGCATTTGGTTGTGAAGAACGGATAGCAATCCAATTCGCCTCAGAACTAAACCAGCCAAACAAGCAAGCAGTTATAAGAGGCCACATATCAGGTTTCTGCTATGGTTTGTCGCAGTTTTTTGCATTCTGTTCCTATGCACTTGGCCTTTGGTATGCATCAATACTAATCAAGCATAAAGACTCAAATTTTGGAGACATCATGAAGTCCTTCATGGTCTTAATAATCACCGCTCTGTCAATAGCAGAAACTCTAGCTCTCACACCAGACATTGTGAAGGGATCACAAGCACTTGGCTCAATTTTCAGAATACTAAAAAGAGAAACAGCCATAAATCCAAATGCTCCCAAATCAAATGTTGTCGCTGATGTCAAAGGAGATATAGAATTCAGGAATGTGAGTTTCTGGTACCCTGCAAGGCCGGATATCACCATTTTCGACAATTTGAATTTAAGGGTCTCGGCAGGAAAGAGTCTTGCAGTTGTCGGCCCAAGCGGGTCGGGGAAGAGTAGTGTGATTGCCCTAGTAATGAGATTTTATGACCCCATTTCTGGTACAGTTGTGATTGATGGGTATGATATCAAAAGCTTAAACTTGAAATCGTTAAGGAAGAAGATAAGTCTAGTTCAGCAAGAGCCAGCATTGTTCTCTACGACAGTTTATGGGAATATCAAGTATGGGAATGAGGAAGCATCCGACGTTGAGGTGATAAGGGCTGCCAAAGCAGCAAATGCAGATGGTTTCATAAGTAGAATGCCTGAAGGGTACAAAACTCAAGTTGGGGAGAAAGGAGTGCAGTTATCAGGAGGACAGAAACAAAGGGTGGCAATTGCTAGAGCAATATTGAAAGATCCATCGATTCTTCTTTTAGATGAAGCAACAAGTGCATTGGACACAGAGTCTGAGAAGCTTGTTCAAGAGGCTCTTGATAATCTAATGGAAGGCCGAACGACAATTTTGGTCGCACACAGATTGTCAACGATCCGGGATGCGAATAGAATTGCTCTGCTGCAAAATGGTAGGGTGGTGGAAATGGGAAGCCACGAGCAACTGATTGGAAGACCCGGTAGTCTCTATAAAGAACTAGTTAGTCTACAGCAAGAAAAGAGTGGAGGGATTCATTAATTCAAAGGCATTATTATTATTATGTGGTATACTTCCTATAACCAAAGGTAAAGCATAAGAATCTTTTCGATTACAAGCTAAGATAAGAATAGGCAGTTTTCGGAGGGATGTATTAAATTAATAAAGACCACTATTGTATATTTTTGGCTTATGCTGTGTGATACAGACATTAATATTATTTGTAAAGAGATAATGCAATATTGCAAAGGTATACATTTCTTTTTATGGGATTCAAATATCACTAAAAACTTGGTCCAAAATCATGAGTTTGTGGGGGAAAAGTTTAACCAAATCAAAATGCCATTACTCGGAGTTCCATTACGCAACCTGATAAGAACATAAACCATAACGCAAAACCTGTAAATAGCCAAACTTTTGTATTATCAAACATTTAAAATGAGGAATGACAATTATGAATACATTGGAACCAATAACATCTGTCATAATAGGGATCTTCATCACCTCTGGTATATGTATGAGAGAGACACAGAGGTACGTGTGTTAACAAGGCTAACCATGAGTTACACTACGTGAAAACATGTCTTAAACAAACCATCTAATGCTATCACATGAATCCCTAGAATGTCAGTGAATGCTATACATACACCACAGCTTGCTGCATCCTCAAAGGACTTCAACTACAAAGGAGGTAGTGATGAAGAAAGGCCAGCCAGTCAACACATCATCTCATAAATCTACTTGTTACTTATCACAATATGGAGCAAGCCTTTTGTCCCTTTCTCTTTTTCTTCTTTTGCTTTGGCGGCTGGAGCACAACCTTAATGGCCGCATCAAAAACAGCCTTCACATTCTGCCATTACAATTGTCAATGAATCCCATCAATAACGGGGGGTGAATACACATGAAAAATTGAGGAAGAGGGGAAGAAGAAAAATATGCATACCTGTTGTGTTTTTGAGCTACACTCAATGTATGCTGGTGCTCCAATTAGTTTCCTCATTTCCTCTCCCTTTAGGCAAAAACAGTAATCGAAGGTCAGTAGACCAACTTAAAAAATATTCAGATTTGGGGGCGAAGCAGTACTCTTTACCTGAGTAGTATTAATGGGAACTGCACCAGAATGGTCAATAAAAAATTGTTTATCATCCCGAAGATCTGCAAATGAAAATCACAAAATTGAGCGCGTTCATCAAAAGAGTAAGAAAATTCAGTAGTAACTAATAAATGATAGTAATAAATGCTCCAAATAATGATATGAAATGTTGACTCAAGAACAGGAAAAATAGTGATCAATTGCTGCAGGACTAAGTAAACAAAAGATCAACCTTGATAACAGTGCAGTATTGAATAAAATATCAAATTAAGAACTAGTATTCAATGCACACTCACCAAAAGAAGTTTAGAAATGAGAAGACTAACAAGAGCAGAGCAATACAGCTCTGCTGTACCTTGATGCTGATCTTTACATGGAAGAAATGAGAAGTATAGTCCATAGCCAGTCCCAAAAGTTACAAGGACCATAATGCACCAGACCAGACACCAGCACAAACATAGCAAAAGTATCATGCACCAGAACAATATACCAATGCATTATACAAGAAGGGCTGAAACAAGATCTTACCAAGCTTTGTTCCAACCAGAATTATTGGAACGCCGGGTGCATAATGCTGCAGTTCAGGAATCCACTGAAAAGGAAAAGAAAATTTCAAACAACTTATCCACACACCAATGATGAAGACGTCATATGTTAAGATCATTGCAAATAAAGACAAAAATGATTATAAAGAAGATTTGGAACCTTTTTTGCAACGTTTTCATAGCTGGCTTTGCTTATGAGAGAAAAAGCGAGGATAAAGACATCTGCCCCTCGATAGCTCAAGGGCCTTAATCTATTGTAATCCTCCTGCCCTGTTAGAAAATTGTTAATACAATTCCCAAACTAAAGAACCAAAAAAGAAAACAAAAACAAAGCAAAGAAAATGAATCCACATATTCAAAAGGGGAGTAGTAAAATCACCAGCTGTATCCCATAGTGCTAAGTTGACAGTGCTTCCATCCACAACAACATTAGCACTGAAATTGTCGAAAACAGTCGGCACGTAGTCCTGTTGTGCGTGATAGTAAACAAAACAAAGACACACTAAGTCAATGATATGCAACCCAAGTTCGCCTATATGAAGTAGCAGGATCACAACTCTAAAAGAAAAGAACCCTAAACACCACACACAAAGCAATGCACCATAATGTGTCAACAAAAATTAACAAGAATTAAGAGCGCATACAATTTCATGAAGCAAAATTAATGTCATTCTTGACCTAAATCAAGGTTTGGACTTTGGTGAAATATTATTAAGCTTTATTGGCCAAATGAGCAGCTAATATAGAAATTATGTCACTTTACCCCCGAAGTTACCGGAGGAAGAAGCAAAAACTAAAGCATATGAAAATACATAAGCAATTGTACTTAAATGGGAAGGAGGGCAGTAAATTTACGAAAATGGGACTGACCGTAGGAAAGGTGTTGCTGGTGTAGGAAATCAGCATGCAGGTTTTGCCGACAGCACCGTCACCGACTGTCACGCACTTTATGAACCTGGAGGCGCTCATTTCAATTTTCTACCCTAGAGAGAGAAGCAGCAGATCTCCACCCAAAGATGTCACTTTTTCTTCCTTCAACTTCCTAGGATCACCAAGAACCCATATTTTGCTAATAAACCCTAATTTGCTAAGGGAAAAAGAGAGTGTAGCACTGTGGCCCGTGGGAGAAGAAACTGAAACTGATAGAGAGAAAACAGAGAGTCAAAAAGTCAAATTGTAATTGAAGCGCTTGCTGACGTAGCCATTAGCCAAGCCAACCTTTAGCCAGCTAACACACCTTCCTTATCTGCTTTTCTTTTTCTTTTTTTCTTTCTTCTTTCTTTCTGGATCAAATTTATTTGATTTCTACTTATTTGAAACTTTGACTATACTATGCTTAATTTTCTTGCTGCTTGTTGCCCAGAGTTGGGAGGCTTGGAGGGAGTAGCCTGGAAGGTAATGGGCTTTGGGCTTTTGAAGAGAATAACGCCTGTAGCAGCTATTGGAGGGGCAAAAAACAAAAATGAAAAGGCCACCGCTTTGTTTGTGGCGAAGCATCCGTAACACAAATTTGGAGATGGAAAATGCTACTTGGACGAAAATTTTGGCGGGACAGACTTATCCCGGCGAAAGTTTGATGGAATAGACTAATCCCAACAAACTTTCAAGTCCTCTAGTAGGTTTAGGGTTAGAGTTTGAGGATTGCGAAAGGTTTTTGAACAAGTTGAGATGAGTTTAGAAGCTAGATTGTTTGGTTCAAGACTTGATATTTTTAGGGTTTGGAACATCCTAGCTTTCGAACTCATCTCAACTTGTTCCAAAATCGTTCGCAAGCTTCGAATCCAAACCCTAAACCTACTATAAAGTACTTAGGACTTGATTAGGCTTGGATATTCATATAACTTGATATGGGCTTTATGATTAAAGTTTCATTCTTAATCTTGGGTTAGTACAATGTAATCGGACCTAATCTTGACCTGTCTCGATGAATTTTGTCGAGATAGACATAGAAGGATTTAAAAAAAAATACTATTTATTAAGTAAAGTATGAAATTAATTAAAATATTTAAGTACTAATTATTCACTAAAGAAATAATAACTAAAAACTAATTAAAGTAATTCAATAAGGTTAAGATATTACTTAATTACAAATATAAAACTAAACAAACTAATTTGTACTAATTTTTTATTACAAAATAATTTAAAATAATTAATTATTATATATTGAGTAATTTATGAAATTAATTAAAATATTTACGCTTATGAAATGAAATTAATTAAAATAATAGTGAAAGAAACATTTCAGAAAGAAAATGATAGGATTATTTACGCTTACGCCTGTTTATCCAATACCACGTTTCCCATAATTTGAATGTAACAACACTAATTATACATACAATTTCAACTGAGTTGCATACAAAATAATCCTTCAGATCTCCAATCAACTTGAAATCTAACAATATCACTTCCCAGAGAAATAAATAAATAACAAGCTTCGCTGCAATGTCAATCCCTAACTTCATGTAGAGCTTTTGCACGCTAGAAGGACTTTGTCCTGTTGACAAGCGGCAACTGCCTAAAGGGAAAGAGGAAAAGAAACTGCACATAGCTGCTCCTCGTTTAGGATTCAGGGGCATTTTTCATAGACTATGCTCACACGTCGGCTCTCCTCATCGTTCTTCCTCTCAACCCCACACTATAATGTCCTCAAATATGACAATCTCTTTAACCCAAAGTCAGACCTTGATAGGGGCATATTTCTCGCCCATTACCCCACCTTTCTGTTTCTGGAACTGTATGTACTGCAATGTGCTGCTGAAAAATGCATCTGGGGCTGGACTCACATTTGTAGAGTCGCTTTGCATCTGAGTTTTAATCCACCAATCCAAGGATTGCAGCACTTGTAATCTGGGGGTTTCCTTTCTCAGAGAAGCAGAGGTACCTGCTGCAAAAATCATGAATCAACCTTAAATTATACAACACGGTAGCAACATAGAATGAAAGACTTCAATCTGGCCCAGTAAAAAACAACTGACTTGTTCAGTATCTCAACAAAGAGCGTGACTGGGGCACTGCTACCCCGAGTTACGCTGGCCATCTGTTGAGCAGCATTTGCAATTCTCAAGGCACGCATTTGAAATGGACAAGCCTAGAATGGAACCGTGAAGGGTAATGCATATACACCAGCCTCCAACAACCACTGTGCTTGTGGCCACGGCGTGCTCCCTGTACAACTGGAGACCTCATTGTTAGCAGCTTTAAATCTTTTGGACCCACATCTGTTTTGATGCTTCGTCCCAAAGAGCCATTCTTCATCACCATCACCAACATCGGCAAATTGAATCGGGGGAGGGATCCAATTCTCAATCAGAGTTGCATGGAGTGAATCTTCACTCTGAATCTGATCTTCAAATGCAGCACTCGCACTTCTCTTCTGACCAATTGTTTCAATCCCCTCTGATGTTGAACAGGGTAAATCTTGGTCAGGTTTTGAAGAGACCTGCCTGAGTTCTACATTTGTCTCTGCACTGGGTTGACTGGGTGCAAGAACAACTTCCGTTCTCTCTGGAGGAAGCAAATCTACCCTTCCAGAAGGAGAGCACACACGTGAGGCGTCTGGTTCGCTGTGCTTAAGCAATTTAAGGCGAACGATCAAAGGCTTGCTTTTCTTGCTGCTTTGGGTTCCATCAGACAAGTAGGAATTGCTCTCAATACAGGTTGGCAGCCCATGTTCGTTCGTAATGTCACTTTTCTCCAGTTGATCAGCTTCATGTTCAGTTTTTTGAGGACACCATCCCTTTGCTTCCCCTTTTTTACCCTTCTTTTGCTGGAAACGCTTTTTATCATCAAGGCTTTTGACATTGTGAAGAGTATCCTTCTCTTTACGCCCTTGTCCCTTTATCTCCCTTCTCTCTTTCTTCCTCTGACTCTTGCCATTTTTCTCCATCTCTCTCTGGAGCTTTTGAAGCACCAGAATAAATTCAATAAGATTGGTAGAGCAGACCAGTAAAACATGACTAAAGCACAGAAGTAGAGAAACTGCTGACGTTACACGGACTCATTATTTGGAAGAGTTGGGACACAGAAAATAAGATCAAAGAGACAACCAACATTTGATCCATTACTAAATTTTAAGTTAGTACAGTTTTACTAGACAGTAGCGAGATACTTAACCAAATGACGACTAATTACAACAGCCTAAGTTTAACTTCAAATTCTATGAAGTCCTGAACTTTTGGAGTCTGAAAGAAATTGGTAAAACCTACACCTGTAAACTACTGAGATAAACCAAAATTCACACCAACCTGATGACACCACAGTTAACCCCACAAATTCAGCTTCTAATCAAGATAGAAACGGTGATAACCAATTACAAGGTCCATAACCTAATTTTCATTTCTTGTCAATGAAAACCACAATTCTAAATCAACTTATGAGTTCTTGACCCTTCCAAGATCAAACTTTACTCCAACAACCACACTCAACGATGGACATATAATGTAGTTTTGGGTTGTGATATTAACCTGGTAAAAAATTAAAACACCCTAAGATTCGCGTTAGTAATTATGTAACATACATGTTCAAACGTACCATTTTTTTTCCAGAAAAAACACAAGTTCTTTTGTCAGTACATGGCAAAAAGAAACTCACGATCTATCTCAATTACCAAAAAACCAAAAAGGGAGTCGAGATATATTAATATACACGAAGAAAAACTCAAAATTTGTTCAAGATTTGCCCCAAAAAAACTTAGAATTACCTACAATTTTTCCCTTGAAAAACTCAGATTTGTCTATATTTTCCAAGAACAAATCGGGATTTATCACGAAAAATAATTTCAAACTAGTTTCTACAGGAAACCCATCAACCCCATCCCTACATGATAAGAAAGAATCATAAAAACAGGCCATTCTTGAATACCCACAAGACCCACCGTTTTTAAAAAACTGACAGACAATGCTAGAATACAAGGTCAGGCATATATTACAGTGATTACATGTCGCAGAAAGAGATAGGGGGAGAGGCCCAGAAAAAGCACAACCAAATTGCTCAACAAACCTTAGTCGGTTCGAGCAAGGCCTCTCTACTCACTGCGTTCCTCGCATAATCGCTAAAGGTGTACTTCAAGGCCCGAGCCATCTTTCAATTAACCAAAAAAAATTTCCACACAACCTAATCGCTTAACTAGATCGGAACTTTCGCAAAACCCTAGCACAGAGTTTTTCGGTTCTCTAGCTTGGGAGGTCTTTTGACGGCAATAGATCCTCGGGTACATATGCAATAACATCGTGGCTTTATATAGACCGGCATATTTGTTATACCAATAATGCCCTCGACCTAATTCAATTTTACTTTGAACTCTATTTTTTTTGGGCTCATTTAATTGGATGGGCTTTTATGGAAACATGGGTTCCTAGTCCTACACGGACTAGGAGAATGGCCACACGGGGTTAACGCGTTTTGTCGCCATCCAAGTGGGCTAAACCCGTGATTAAACCCGCGAGCTCGTCCCATTTTCATTTCAACAAAATGCAAAAGCTGCAGACTTGCGACGAGGGATATAGCACTCTGAGTATCCAACCTGAAACACTCGGTAGAGTTACGTGAGTATTCAAGCGTAATTGAGTCATAAATGTCATATAGTAGGCTTATGATTATGGTTCAAGGCTTGAGAACGGTTTTGGAACAAGTTTGGAAGTTAGTGTTTTTGGTTCAAGACTTGAATTTGAGGTTTCGAGGCTAAAATCAATTTTTGGAATACTAAAATAGTTTTTACAATATTTTTGGTTACCTAAAAGAATTTTCTAGGATTTTTAAATAATAGAAACTATTTTAAAAATACTTTTGGAAATTAAAAATAGTTTTCAAGTCCATAAAAGATTTTTTTTAAAAAAATTAAATACTATTTATTAAGTAATTTATGAAATTAATTACAGTATTTAAATACTAATTATTCACTAAAGAACTAATAACTAAAAACTAATTACTAATTATAGTATTTAAATAAGGTTAAGATATTGCTTAATTACAAATTTTAAACTAAACAAATTAATTTGCATGAACTTTTTTTTTAAAGTCCACAAAATAATTTAAAATAATTAATTACTATATATATTGACTAATTTATGAAATTAATTAAAATATTTAAATACTAATTATTTACTAAATAAATAATAATTGAAATATAGTTAGTAATTAAAGTAATTAAATAAGGCTAAGATATTGATATTAAACTAAAAAAATTAATTTTATTTAAAAAAAAAGGTGTATTCGAATATATTTAAAAAGGCAGCAAGTCAGCAAGTCAGCAAGCCCAATTATATCCTATGACCGCTGGAGAAGTCTGTAGCAGCCAACATGTGATTGCACCCTCACTTGTCGTTCCATGACCTGAACAAGGGCGGCTGCAGAACTTTTCATTGTAAACCTTTTGGAATGATGTCATCAACAGCTTTCCTTGACCCACGATCATCTTAAATGTACAATGTTTTAAAAATTATATCTACCAACAGCAATGCAGGCTCTGTACCCGTTTCTGCAGAATTCAAAATGACAAGTAATTTAAGAACATGGGCAGATGATCAGCCCATATCAAAACTGAAAAATATAATGTGATAAACTAAGTAAGCTCAATCTAATCATGGATGGTATCGAATTATCTAAGGCCCGCTAGTTTTAAATGTTAAAGTGCATAAATACTCACTCAAAAAACAAACCTAACTTTTTGTTTCTCAAAGATATAATTGACAATGCTAAGCTTACCACATTTTTATATTATATTGTATACCATCTTTACAATAGAGCTTTATTAGAAAGATGGTACACGGGTATAAAAACGTGGTAAACCTAGCATTTTCAAAAAAGTATTAGTTCCATATAGCATTTCCGGAAAGCAAGAGTCATACTTAATCCTTCCTCTTACATTACTTATAACAAAATAATAAGAAAATTCATCAGCTCTGTCAGTTTGGGACATCTGTTTCTTAGAAAATTCTATAAAGCAAAGGCAAGTAAAATCAATTTATAAAAATGGAAAGGTAAAATCAACGCCATTGGAGAATGAACTTACTGCTTGTACTAATAGTTAAAGAAACAGTTCAGAAAGAAAATGAGAGGATTGCTTACGCCTGTTTATCCAATACCAAGTTTCCCATAATTTGAATGTAACAACACTAATTATACATCATACAATTTCAACTGAGTTGCATACAGAATAATTCTTCAGATCTCTAATCAACTTGAAATCTAACAATATCATTTCCCAGAAAAAGAAAATTAAATAAATAAATAACAAGCTTCGCTGCAATGTCAATCCCAAACTTCATGTAGAGCTTTTGCACGCTAGAAGGATATTGTCCTGTTGACAAGCGCCAACTGCCTAAAGGGAAAGAGGAAAAGAAACTGCACATAGCTGCTCCTCATTTAGGATTCAGGGGCATTTTTCATAGACTATGCTCACATGTTGGCTCTCCTCATCGTTCTTCCTCTCAACCCCAAACTTTAATGTCCTCAAATATGACAATCTCTTTAACCCAGAGTCAGACCTTGATAGGGGCATATTTCTCGCCCATTACCCCACCTTTCTGTTTCTGGAACTGTATGTACCGCAATGTGCTGCTGAAAAAAGCATCTGGGGCTGGACTCACATTTGCAGAGTCGCTTTGCATCTCAGTTTTAATTAACTCCACCAATCCCTGGATTGCAGCACTTGTAATCTGGGGGTTTCCTTTCTCAAAGAAGTAGAGGTACCTGATGCAAAACTCATGAATCAACCTTAAATTATACAACACCGTAGCAATATAGAATGAAAGAGCATGACTGGCCCACTGCTACTCAAATTATACTTCAATCTGGCACAGTAAAAAACAACTGACTTGTTCAGTATCTCAACAAAAAGCGTGACTGGCCCACTGCTACCCCGAGTTACGCTGGCCATCTGTTGAGCAGCATTTGCAATTCTCAAGGCACGCTTTAAACAAAGCAAGACCCTGTAAAAAAAAAAGCACTACTTGTTGTAATTACAGGTTTTAACCACCATAAACTTGCTTGATAAAGATAACCCAACATGCGAATATTTGTGCAACTGCAGACAAAAATGTATCGACGTGCATAAATCCAATACATTGATTTTGAGTAAACTTACCTTTCTCCATCTTTAACACCATCCTGATCATCAACCCAAAAAAGATGTGAACATGCGTACACCGCTCGGCACTGATCAGGTTTCTTCAAAAGCTTTGCTGAATACTGACCGAAGGAAACAAACATAAATTATGGTGTTTCACAGCAACAAATTGAAAACCAATGATCAAATGATACGAAAGGATTGTTACCCCTGTGGCCTTGTGTGTTAAAGTATCCCTGTTCTCAACGCCAAATACATTCATCCTCTGGAGAGTCCCAATAATGAGATGTATTGCAGTCACCTGGGCTTTGGAATCCTAAAATTGAGGGTACATTATGATGTAGAATCATTAAGGCTAAATGCCACACTAGACAGTCTTTTTATAGAAATACTACTAGAAACCACTTCCTTCAGATCTATGCAATAAATTACAAGATAATGATTGACAAACAATTACCGCAACTTCTTCTTCATATAATACAAATGCCTGAGTGAAGAATTCATAAGCAACAGGTTCAAGATCACAGTCATTAGCAGCCTGATTGTGCATGAATCAAAACAAAGAGGTCAAAAAACATCAGTTAGTCTGCAGCCACAATGGTATAGCCCTAATTTCAAGGTTTACAGGATGATGCTATAAGAACATGCATGACCCAAACTGCAAAGCCTGCACCCCATGCATTCTCGCAGATGTTGCATACCTCAGCACATTCCAAGTACAACCTTAACGCCAGTTCAGGAGATGGAACTGAGGAAAGAGCTTCAATAGTCTGAAATAAAGTAGAAGCATCATTATAGAAATATGAAGACAAGTATAAAGTAGAAGCACATTGATCACACACAAAAAACAAAATAAAAGAGTCTTCAGCAAGGATTATGGCCAAAACAAACTAAGAAGCGACCAAGTGCATTCATCTAATTACCTGATTTAAAATCTGAAAAATTTTCTTCGGTGTGGCAGGCATCTCTTCTCCGACTACCTCTCCATCCTGACCTTGCAGCCGCCTAACCAACTGCAAGCCACAACCAACATTTTGAGAGGTGATTTTAATACACTCCACTACTTCATAATAAAAAGTTCATACATAGACAAAATGAAACAGCAAACATGCCACAATTTGAAGCACAAAGAGGCATAGCATACCTTGAGTGCAGATAATATAAGAGGAGGAACAGTAAAAGGTAGGCGCTTTGGTCCTCCACTCATTATGTGCTTCTTGACCGTACATAAGATCTGAAGGTATCATAAAATTAAAGTAAGATTTCTCTGAAGTTAAAATAAAAACAATGAATTTCGTACATGGAACCAACTGCAAGCCACAACCAACATTTTGTACGACCCTTCAACATTATTGCCTACTCTCTTAATTCCAGACATGAGAAACAGGAAATTAATGAGTCCCTTCGAATTTTGAATATTGAGATCTTATTCATCTATCGCCGTGTGTCCCTATGCATGCCTAAGAACTGTAACAAAGATAAAAATAATAACAGACACAAGCATCTCGACAAAAATGCAACATGCGTAAATCTGCACGTCAGAAATGCTAATGAGGCCAGTACTTTCAACTGGGTCTAAATGGCAGTCAGAAATGCAACATGCGCAAATCTGCACATCAGAAATGCAAATGAAGGCAACTCCTGCAAATGGCTCTAAATGACTGTCATATATGGGCACTGAGGATTATCATGCTTTCACAAGTCTGACATACATAATTTCCAAAAGGATAATTTTTCAGTAACATCAATAAAACCTAAGAGTAAGTTGGCTTCTGAAAACAACTTCTAGATGGATGCAGAAATTTCAACCAACATTAGCATCAAGAGAAACAATAAAACCTTAATGACATCAATGACTTACCTTTAACATTTCCTCTGGATCATCATTATAAAGCATGTGTATAAGGCGAGCAACAGAATTTTGTTCCTCTCCAAAATCCTCCTCATCAAGCTATCAGTAGAAAATAACACAAGAAAAGACCAAGGTCAGCCAAAAAAAAGCAAAAAAATATCATCGAGTGTTTTGGTGAAATTAAATTTACATTAAAAAGAAAAAATCATGTGGATCAAGGGACTTAAAAAGTAGGTTACTAAGAGATGCTAAAACCCTTATACAATAAACTAAATATTCCTATTACAATAACAGTTTTGAAATGCACCTCATCTGCAGAAGTACAATCCAAATCCTTGATGAGTCCTTTAATTAATTCAAACAACACCTCCACCTACAAGAAGCAATATACCACATTATACGAAGAAAAATTTGTAAAATAGAATAAATAGAAGAAACATACCTTATCAGCAGTGGAGATACAAGAATTGTTTTTCATAATGCTTTGAATAATGACCACTGCCATGACTTTATTTGTTCCATTATCAAGATGATCCATAACTCGAGGATAATTAGAAAGTGTGAGGGCTGTAACAATGTCATCATATTTTTCCAAGGGAGCACTTAACAGCGCAACAACCTGTTTTATGGCTCTATTGTCTTCAAGCTTGGTTGTTCCAGATAGCTTCTTAACACATGCTCCCTGAAAAAAAAAAAAAAAAAAAAATATATATATATATATATATACAAAACAATCACCAGTTAACTTGGTTACAAACATGGCCCACATAATCCATATCTAAACGAGATCTCAAAGGAGATGGCATCCATGTCGCAGGCTATGTTGATAGGCAGGTATTCTCCCTCAGAGGGCATGCAGAAGTTTGGGAAAGCTTATAGTAACTAAAATTAGTTTTTTTTGCAGACCTTACCAGTACTTGATCCACATAATCAAGGCGATCAGGATGAACACGGAGTGTAAATGTAAGAAGAGAGACATAAAGAGATATGGATCCAACAATAGGCATGTCAATCTGTGCTTCTATCACCTGAAATTTGTATAGCTGATTTATTAAAATAGCACACTTCTAGAATTCAAACAAAGGGTACCACCAATAAAGATATGTATGTTTCATAATTAACATGGAACAGAAAATGGCTTGTCTAATAAAGAGGACATCTGTTTTTCTCAGAGAAATTTGTTCATGGGGCAAAATATTAGTGAGTATACAATTTCCTATTAACTATACATCAACTACGTCATGCTGTAGTGTATTTGGAATTTGATAACTATCAATTGGAGCAGATTTGCGACTTGCAATGACTTTGTGCTTTTTTTCTTGACTTTTAAAGCCAAATTTCTACAAAGATATTTCAATTTCCCATATTAAGGGTTTTTATTTATTTGTAGAAATCAATGCTGTATATTCTAGCTATTAGAAGATTTTTCACAAATCACCATGAATACTGATTGAAAAAAAGAAGAAGGGATTAGTAGCCAAAATTGATCGTTCATATTGAACTGATGAGAAAATAATATAAGAAAAAGAAATGGGGTGTATAAGACATGAAGAGAAGATGAGTGAGAGAGTTGAGAGGAAAATAGAGGTAACGACGTTAGTTTATAGAAAAAGGAAACAAACTTATTGTAGGCGATGTGGAATAGCCATAAACATTGGATTAGTTGGATGATCTAGATTTTATGAAATGCGGGTAAATGCACCATCCCTAAATGCAGAGAACATGAGGGTAAATGCACCATCCCTATTTCATCTCTTTTAATCTCAATGACATTGGAAATAGCCAGCTTACCCTCCCAATAGCACTGCTTAATTTAGAGAAGGCTTCCACTTGAAGAAATTCAGGTAATACCTTGAACAAGAAAAAACCACAATCATCAAAACTGCAACACCCAGGAATGGAAGAAGCCATAAAAAATTGCAAACGTGGTAACAAAATCCAAAAGCATGACCCAGAAGATGATTTTGAGATAACTCACATCTGTGCTTGACGCAGCATAATTTGATAACCTCTCCATTAATTGAGATAACACAGTCTTGATATCAACTGTTGGCTGCATTTGAAAATATACAATGTAGAGGTAAAATGAGTCAAAAAGCTGCTTTGGTTGGGCGTATTCTCTCAAATATAAAATAAATGACACAATAAGGCTGCTACGAGCCACCAGATATCAAAGCAAGTAACCAATTTGGCTTTTGTGGCTTGAGCTACTATTTCAACTATACATAATGGGAAAACATGGCTTCAAACATGCATATATAACATTATACTTAAATAAATAAGAAAACATACACAATCAAGTGAAAGTCAAACAACGGAGAGAAAAACGATATTGGTACCCACCTGAAGCTGGGGGAATGCAGCCAATAATGTCTCCAGTGTCTGCAAGTGGTACTCATCTGGAAAGACCTGGATTATGCAATCCATCAAATAATATTGGGCCAGCTCATCTTTACAGTTGATAACCTGTGCACACCAATTTGGATGAAAGTTTGAAATATTACAAAAAGACAAGTTGAGTATAGGGCTCTGCCATAAGGGAAAGTATTTAAAATTAACTAAACAAAATCTTATTGAGAAGGGAAATAGAAAAAAGAACCTGTTCTAATACTCTGGGAAGAACAGTGTCTTTGTACAATTCAAGTTCCACGCCCTCTATCTGACTGAGAACATGTAGATTTTTCCCAACCTATCAAGACAATTCAGAAAGGTGTAATTTCTCTATTACAACGTGTTATGCACTGTTTCATCTGCTGATAGATTCAGATTTTCGATATTACAAGATCACGAAGTTCACTTCTTTCCTTTTCATGCTTCTCTCTCACCCGACCAGGTCCCTGCAGACCAGAAAGCCCAACAGAAGGCCTCAACTCAAGATCGCCAAAGAGTATGAATGATTCACAAGCACCATAACACCTGCATGGCCAAAAATCATGCCCTCATGGTTCATTTTTACCTCTATGGCATGCAAGTACTCTGGTGCCATGCATATTCAGACATTAGAGCAGATATTTTACATAGATGTTGAACAAACCTGATAAAGCATTCGAACCCAAAGCTTATTCATCTCTGTGAAATTCTGTAGCACAAAATCTACAGCATCCATGACAGTGTCAGCATCTCTGCAAGGATATTGGAATATGAATCAAATCAAGCAACAGGAAATCCATCCCAGCAAAAGCAAATGTTTATTGGCCTATATAACATATTCCCTTCTTCTGTTGATTTGATGTACATACAGGAGTCAAAGACTTATAATTATTCTCAATCTAAAACCAACTAGAACTGGGAAAGAACAGAAAGATGTGATAAATTCCATATATTTCCATAACCAAAAATCATTCTCTTTTTTGTCAGACAATGTATGAGATATTTTCAAATCAGTAGTATTGAACAAGGAAATGGAGAAAGAAAAAAGGAGAGAGAGAAAGAAAAGATAAATCAACGACTGAAATGACAGACTTCTTTCACAAGAAATTAAAAAAACAATCTGGCCAAGAAAACAATCTTACCCTTCATACTCAGAACCAATATCAGGTAACTTATCTCTACTGACTTGAGAAAGATAGCTTCTTAGAAAGAGCCCACGCATTGGATGTTGAATGGCACGACACATTTCCACAAGATCTTTAAGCACATCCTTGGCAGGTGCTTCCTTAGATTTAATGTACACAGAACCTACCGTACATAGGAGATACCTGTTAAATAAGCAACAGGAACTTCATATACATTGAAAGTTGATACAACTGGAACAAATAACTCAACTCATTGCACAACTCTGAAATGCATATCTTCTTGATTTGATCACTAGGAGGAACCCAAGAACAAAAACACTAAAGAGATTCTTTTTTGCTACAGGCAGAAATGAAACGCATATGATTGGATGAGAGCAGATATGTCATTATATGAATAGGCATAAATTAACTTTGAGAAGTTAGAGACCTGGCACGTCCAACACTTATCTAAGTTTGTTGAGAAAGGACAACATTTCCTCACAATGATGGGATGTCATTCAATGTAAGTTCTAGGCAACTTACAATCTCGGTAAGATGTTGCCAGCATGCTGAACAAGTTCGTAGAGATCAACAATCGAAACACCATGTCTGCTCTCGTCCTTGAAGAACATCTCCAGCTTCCTCAATTCATCGAAGGCTCGCATATCTATGAAATCAACCATGAAACGTCAAACGTCCAAATCAAAAATTAGATCACCATATCGAATTGAATCAATGCTTAGAAGAGCATTTCGGTGAAAAATATATATGAAACGTTACAGAGATCGTAGTATTTGTGAGGCGAAAGCCTCGAGGTTCGGAGCTCAGACAGCATCAGGGCCGAGTATTTGAGAGCGTCTCTGAGATTGTTCGCGTCCTGAGGGAATTGAAAAATCGACAAGATCGAGGAGAATTAGGGTTTAAGATCATTGGATAAAAGAATTTGTAGGAATGTAGTTTAGGATCAGAATTGGAAATTAAAGTACCAGAGCACGATGCATGTAAAAGGCATGATGTTGAATGCCGGCGATTCCTTCTGCCAGCCATTTCTCTTCGTCTCCGATCCCGTCCAATATCATAATCTCTCTCTCAATCTCTCTCCGCTCGCTGAAAGGAAGTAGGTACAGTACTATTCTATAATCTCGCGTTTTCCAGAGGAACGTTGGTTGAATTCTTTTTCTTTTTTATTTCTTTTATTTGATTTAATTTTATAAAAAATAAAACGTTGAAAACTTGACCGTTTGGGTATGCGGTATTGGGATGGGACCCACTAGATAGTATGATGTATCCATATAGATAGAGTGACGAAACGAAGTCCGTCGCAGGGACTCCCCAAATTATGGGCTTCGACCGGCTCGTATTGGGGCAAACTAGGCCCATCTTGCCACTCGGCGCTCAGCTCAGCTCAGCTCAGCTTGGTGTTGTTAAACCCTTATTAAACCCTTTTCACTTGTGTTATGGGAGATGGATAGACTAGTAAGCAAGAACACTTGTGTTTGCATTCATTTTTTGAAGTTGTGAATCAAAACTAGTCGTAATTGTTTACCTTGGAGTGAACTAATTACGAACACTGAGGGCATTAATATTTATGTGCAAGCTATATCATTCTCAGATTCTTTCAAGCTTTTGTCTTACTTGAAGGATTGTACAATAGATCCCCATGAGGTTGGTGTCTGTCTCTGCACTTTTTCAAAAACTTCGGCATCCATGTAGTCTCTCACCTTGCTAACCAAAGCCTTACGTGTTAGCATATTTGCAACAGCATTACAAGATGCTTATCCTACAGCGGCGGCGACAATGGCTTGAATATATATAATATATCCTAGTAGTAATCTATGATGACAAGTCTAAATTTTATGATAAGTTCATTTCAAAATCTATGCTTTTGGTGGTGATGTGGACAGGCAGCACTGTAGGGTGGTCAAATGGCAATAACTCTGACTTGCTAAAGATTAGTCGCATTAGGTGTACCAGCAGTTTATTTGGCGGCAGTTCTGTATTATAAATAAAAGATGGTTAGGTGGGTTGGATTTTTGAATACAAAGAGTAGCCGTCAAAAGGTTCAAAATAAGAAGATCCGGGTCAACTTCATTCTGTCTTTGGTAATATATCTTGTTCGTTTTTTTGTGTCTCTCTTCTTTAAGAACCAATAAATTATGAACTTACCCAGTATTTTCCTTTGGATTTTGGTAACATTTCTTTAATCCAGGAAAATATTGTCATTGTTATCTGGTAAACGTTAACTTTTCTGTTAGGTATGCTTTAAATTCACAAGCAAGTACAACGTGCAAACTATGGATTAGTCCCGGTGGCTCTGTTATTATTATATAGTTCTGGCTTCTGAGCAGTATAATATATATACACATATGAATATGACCGTGAAATGAAAATTTCTAGGGAGCTTACCAATTCAGGGGACCAAAGCTTTCAAAGTTTCAAGGGTAAACTTGAATGATGATCAAGAAGGAGAAATCACAAAAGAAATCGGGCAAGGAGAACCACCAACATGTTGGAGAATGGTTATGTTGCGACCTTGCAGAAGCGCTAGCAATTCAGACCACTAGGACATTGAAAGATGACAACTTTGGCATAAACCAATACAAGGTCAAGGCGGAAGCTCTTTTGAGCTCCACTTGTCCACTCAAAATAGAGTTGCCAGCGCCAGAATCAACTCTGGGTTGGCCTCTTCAGAGACTAACTGTTCCTACGATGAGTCAGGAAGCTCCTCCTCCTGAGAGAGAGCTTTGTGATTTGAAGGGGAGGGACGTTGATGAATCACCATTATCAAGGCCTGGTTGGCCTCTCTTGCGGATAGGAGCTATCTCAGAAGCAGCTGTGAGTCCTATCAAAGAAAAAAAGTCCGTGGCTCAGTGGGTGATGGATTTGCCTAGTCGATCATTTTCAGTAAATCAACAGCCACAGGTTGATTTGATTTTGAGGGATGTAGAGTACACAACCGAAAGAGAGAGCCGCCGTTATGATGCCACGAATGGTGATGAAAATTTCTTATCAGTATCATCAAGAAAGCTAGCCAGTGAATTGGAGTTTCTCATTGAAAAAAACTCAGTAGGTTGCAGGTTGTTCAGCTATGAAGAAATTAGGAGTGCAACTTGTCAGTTCTCAACAGGTCAACTAAATCTCTTTTTTGTTTGTATAATTGATGCGATCTGCCTTTGGCATAGTTCTCTTTCTAAACAATTGGCTTATACTTACTATAACACAGGAAATCTTATCGGCGAGGGAGGGTGCAGCAGCGTATACAGAGCATGTCTCGGAGATGGTAAACCAGTGGCAGTCAAGATTCTGAAATCATACAAAGAAGCTTGGGATGACTTTTTCTTGGAAGCCAAATTTGTTTCTTCAATTCAGCATAAACACATCACATCTCTCATTGGTGTCTGTGCGGAAGGTGGCAACCTTATTTTGGTCTATGATCTCTTTCCTAGAGGGAGCCTGGAGGGAAACTTGCATGGTAATTTCCTACAAATAAAGAAATTAAATAGTTTGATAATTAGTTGCCTGAATTTCATTTCATCTTAGTGCAGGTTGCAGTGATGGATCTATAGTACTGCCATGGGAAGTGAGATTCAATGTGGCAGTTGCAGTTGCCGAGGCTCTAAATTACCTGCACAATGAATGTCCTCCGCCCATTATTCACAGAGACGTTAAATCCTCAAACATTCTTCTCTCCGACGAGCTTCTGCCACAGGTATATACATATACATATACACATACAGCACCCCAGCCGATGGGGAAATATCTGCCACATATTCCAATTGTAGACTTTTGTGTTGAATCTAGTTTTATGTTTTGGTTGCAGTTATCTGATTTTGGGCTTGCTATGTGGGGATCTACGGATTCTGCTTATGTGATAAGTAGTGATGTGGTGGGGACTTTTGGATACATTGCTCCAGAATATTTCATGCATGGGATGGTGAGTGATAAGATTGATGTTTATGCCTTTGGTGTGGTTCTCCTTGAATTATTATCAGGAAGAAAGCCAGTTGATGCAGGGGCCCCAAAAGGGCAAGAGAGCTTGGTTAAGTGGGTAAGCATTCTCTCTTTACATCATACTTACCCTTAAAATTGTTTACCAAATTCTGATTTTGACCACTTTTCTTTGATTCAGGCAAGACATTTATTGGACAGTATGGAACTCAAAGCATTGCTGGATCCAAACTTAAACGGGGACTACAATGATATCCAAATGCGTAGAATGGTATTGGTAGCAGGCCTTTGCATAAACCAATCACCTCGTCTTCGCCCAAAAGTGAGCCAGATACTGCAGCTACTAACAGGGGAGACGGATGCCGATAAATATTCTGATTCTCATGTTATGGAATCAAGGGAAGACGATGACGATGACCTTTTCCTGGAAATTGATTGCAAGTCGCATTCGGTTTCTGCCATGTCTGATACAAATGATGGTAGCAGATCATCAAGTTCCACTGATACAGCATCGAGTGTTGAGAAAACCCGCCGCTATAAGTTGAAGGACTACTTAACTATACCTGACCATTATTCTTTGAGCGAAATTTTTTTGCTTTCCTGACAAAGCAACATGCTAAATCTGCTGATATTTTGAGGCCATTGTATATAATAATGAACCCAACACAGAACTACGGGTGTGCATTTTATCATCTTTGCCAGCAGAACAAAGCTACGATGCTGAATTGGTTCAACATTTTTTTCCCAAACGCTGGATGGTTCGACAATGACCAGTACATTTTAACTAAAAGCAAATTCCCACATAGAATCTAACAAGACCAATAGCATTTGCAAGAATAATTGGAAAAATCAATTAATGAACAAATGCATCAAAGTATGGTTGATGCTCATTACAACTGTACAGTATAAGCCGCTAGTGGTCCAAAAAGAAATGGACGAGAAACTAGAATGGAACCGTGATGGGTAATGCATATACGCCAGCCTCCAACAACCACTGTGCTTGTGGCCACAGCGTGCTCCTTGTACAACCGGAGACCTCATTGTTAGAAGCTTTAAATCTTTTGGACCCACACCTGTTTTTATGCTTGGTCCCAAAGAGCCATTCTTCATCGCCATCACCAACATCGGCAAATTGAATCGGGGGAGGGATCCAACTCTCAGTCAGAGTTGCATGCAGTGAATCTTCACTCTGAATCTGATTTTCAAATGCAGCACTCGCACTTCTCTTCTGACCAATCGTTTCCATCCCCTCTGATGTTGAACAGGGTAAATCTTGGTCGGGTTTTGAAGAGACCCGCCCGAGTTGTGCATTTGTCTCTGCAATGGGTTGACTCTGTGCAAGAACAACTTCCGTTCTCTCTGGAGGAAGCAAATCTACCCTTCCAGAAGGAGAGCACGCAAGTGAGGCATCTGGTTCGCTGTGCTTAAGTTTAAAGCGAACGATCAAAGGCTTGCTTTTCTTGCTGCTTTGGGTTCCATCAGACAAGTAAGAATTGCTCTCAATACAGGTTGGCAGCCCATGTTCGTTCGTAATGTCACTTCTCTCCAGTTGATCAGCTTCATGTTCAATTTTTTGAGGACACCATCCCTTTGCTTCCCTTTTTTTACCCTTTTTTTGCTGGAAACACTTTTTGTCATCAAGGCTTTTCACGTTGTGAAGAGTATCCTTCACTTTACGCCCTTGTCCCTTTATTTCCCTTCTCTCTTTCTTCCTCTGACTCTTGCCATTTTTCTCCATCTCTCTCTGGAGCTTTTGAAGCACCAGAATAAATTCAATAAGATTGGTAGAGCAGACCAGTAAAACATGACTAAAGCACAGAAGTAGAGAAACTGCTGACGTTACACTGACTCATTACTAGGAGGAATTGGGACACAGAAAATAAGATGAAAGAAACAATCAACATTTGATCCATTACCAAATTTTAGGTTAGTATAGTTTTACTAGACAGTAGCGAGATACTTAACCAGATGACGACTAAGTGGTAAGCCACTCACTTACAAATTACAACAGCCAAAGTTTAACTTCAAATTCTATGAAGTACTGAACTTTCGGAGTCTGAAAGAAATTGGTAAAACCTACACCTGTAAACTACTTAGATAAATGAAAATTCACACCAACCTGATGACACCACAGTTAACCCCACAAATTCAGCTTCTAATTAAGATAGAAACGGTGATAACCCATTACAAGGTCCATAACCTAATTCTCGTTTCTTGTCAATGAAAACCACAATTCTAAATCAACTTACGAGTTCTTGACCCTTCCAAGATCAAACTTCACCCCAACTACACTCAACGATGGACATATAATGTAGTTTCGGGTTGTGATATTAATCTGGTAAAAAATTAAACCCTATTCTCATTAGTAATTATGTAACATACATGTTCAAACGTAGAAATTTTTTTCAGAAAAAACACGAAGTTCTTTTGTCAGTACATGGCAAAAAGAAACTCACGATCTATCTCAATCACCAAAAAACCAAAAAGGGAGTCAACATATATTAATATACACGAAGAAAAACTCAAAATTTGTTCAAGATTTGCCCCAAAAAAACTTAGAATTACCTACAACTTTTCCCTCGAAAAACTCAGATTTGTCTATATTTTCCAAGAACAAATCGGGATTTATCACGAAAAATAATTTCAAATTAGTTTCTACAGGAAACTCATCAACCCCCCTCCCCCCCGTACATGATAAGCAAGAATCATAAAAATAGGCCATTCTTGAATACCCACAAGACCCACCGTTTTAAAAAAACTGACAGACAATGCTAGAATACAAGGTCAGGCATATATTATAGTGATTACATGTCGCAGAAAGAGATAGGGGGAGAGGCCCAGAAAAAAGCACAACCAAATTGCTCAACAAACCTTAGTCGGTTCGAGCAAGGCCTCTCTACTCACTGCGTTCCTCGCATAATCGCTAAAGGTGTACTTCAAGGCGCGAGCCATCTTTCAATTAACAAAAAAAAAAATTCCCCACAACCTAATCGCTTAACTAGATCGGAACTTTCGCAAAACCCTAGCACAGAGTTTTTCGGTTCTCTAGCTTGGAGGTTTTTTGACGGCAACAGATCCTCGAGGACATATGCAATAACAGCGTGGCTTTATATAGACCGGCATATTTTTTATACCAATAATGCCCTCGACCTAATTCAATTTTACTTTGAACTCTATTTCTTTTGGGCTCATTTTATTGGATGGGCTTTTACGGAAACATGGGTTCCTAGTCCTACACGGACCAGGAGAATGGCCACACGGTCTTTTTATTTTCTTATTTTTTGGGTCAACGGCAACACGGCCCGTTAACGCGTTTTGTCGCCATCCAAGTGGGCTGTAAAAATTCTTCAAAAACCCTTATTTTTTTTTTTGGTCGAAAATCAAAAACCCTGATTAAACCCGAGAGCTCGTCCCATTTTCATTTCAACAAAATCCAAAAGTTGAAGACTTGCGACGAGCGATATAGCAATAGCACTGTGATCCGCTTCGGTCACCATGAGAAGGGTTGATGGAGTCGCTTTGCTCAGTAGAGCCGTCGTCTGTATGGGTAGCTCTACCGCAGTCGGCGGCGCAACTCAACAGCGGCTGGTTCAAGCTGCGATGTTGAGCACTTGCTCGAATTCGAATCCGCTGTGGTTCACGCGAAGACTCGGCGATCACTTCGGCCTATCGAAACCCTCTGTGGCCTGCATTGCAGGAGGGCATGTGTGCTTCTCTTCGAACGCCACGTCTCTGGCTCAAGAGATGCATGCCCAGGACAAGTTCCTCCCCAAGGACGTCGAGCTCTACCAGTACGAAGCTTGCCCTTTCTGCAACAAGGTTAGAGGTAAGTTATGCACCACTTTCTCATATCTTGAGTTCAATCGGAGATGAAATTTTCCAACTTTCACTTCCTATTTTGGTTACTGTGATTATTTTTGTATGAATTGGAAATTCGCATTCTTGGTCTTCATAGAGAATTGATCTTATTTTGAAAACAGAAGGAGTTACTCTAGGGTTCACTTTCAATTTATTTTGCCGGGTTTTATGCCCTCGATTCTTTTCGCCACTGAACTTCTTCTGTCTCTCAGCATTCTTGGATTACTATAAAATTCCATACAAAGTTATGGAGGTTAACCCCATCAGCAAAAAGGAGATTAAATGGTCTGATTACAAGAAGGTGCCGATACTGAAAGTTGATGGTGAACAGATGGTTGATTCTTCAGGTACTTGGATTATTTGGGGCCATAATTAACAAGATTGTATCTGCTTCTTTCTTCTTGATGCTGTGGTAATTAATTATATCCAACTCGGGTTGAGTGCTTTGTGTTTTGTTAAATTTCCATTTTTGTATTTGCAGATATAATCGATAAGCTGTTCCAGAGGATCAATCCTGAGAACAATGTCATAAATGGTGAAGAAGAAAAGAAGTGGCGTGGGTAAGTTTTTGCTTTCACTATTCAACGTTGTAAACCTTCAGTCCTGATCTTCGGTACTACAAGAGATATCTTTTGCAGTGATTAGATTTCCTGTTGAATTGTTTGATGCATGTGTTCGCATTTTTTGATACTTTTATTTCTTAGGTGTTGTGATCATGGGTTTGGCATGATAATAACCGATTAGGTGTGATGTAGGTGGGTGGATAATCACTTGGTGCATGTTTTATCACCAAACATATATCGAACTGCTTCCGAGGCTCTCGAGTCATTTGACTATATCACCAGTCATGGTATGATATCACATCACATCAATAGCAAATCCATTTCGCTTTTATTTCTTATGTAATTTCATGTGACAAACTAGTATTCCATATCGGGAGTTAGTTATGAGCACACTTCACAAAAGATGTGTGTTTGGGAATGCTTTGGCTCGAGTTGCATAAGTTCATTGGTGTGAATTTGTACGTGTGTACTGTTTAGTATTGATGTCATCAATCACAGTGGGAAGAATGAGAAATATATAATAGCACCTCCGTATCTATATAATGTATATATTTAAAAGCTTCTATTTAAGAATCCAGTTACTTTTGTAGAAAGTAATTTATCAACAAGAGTACATGTCTGTGGAACCTCTAATTCTCATCTGTGAGTAACAGGTAATTTCTTAAACCTACAGCAACAAGTGCTACTCACTTAGATTCCCTTCTTACTAGAACTTAGTTAAGTTCCAAACATCCAAATTTGTTTCATTTTGCATTGCTATTTTCATTAAAAAGAAAATTATCTCCTACGCTCTGTTGCGGGGCCAATGGATGTGCTGAAATCCAGTATACCATTCTGATTTTAAGCAGTCCAAGGATTCCTTGTATCCTGAATTTAAGTTGGCGTTTAATATGCAAATGATCCAAATTCTCTTGAAATGGACCTCTTACCTGCAGGAAATTTCAGTTTATATGAAAGGATAGTAGCAAAGTATACTGGAGCTGCAGCTATGTATTTTGTGTCTAAGAAACTGAAGAAGAAACACAATATCACCGATGAACGTGCAGCCTTGTATGAAGCCGCAGAAACCTGGGTGGATGCTCTTGAAGGGAGACAATTTCTTGGTATGCTCATCTAACATATCATATTTTATCAACCTAAGACTTATTTATTGATTAAAACTTTCAATTGATCGGATAATCTTGTGTTTTAACAGGTGGGTCAAATCCTAATTTAGCCGATCTTGCTGCATTTGGTGTTTTGAGGCCCATTCGGCACCTTAAATCTGGCAAAGATATGGTGGAGAACACACGGATTGGTGAATGGTACACTCGAATGGAAAGTAAAGTGGGAGAGTCTGCTAGAATCGAGGCCTAAAGGTGGAACATGTTAGTTGTTTCAGATATTGCAATCTGCTTCAGCCATTGGTTCTGCCAGTGGATGGGGTAGGCATCACTAATAAATGATACATCATTTGAACATCATTGAAGATGATTCAAACTTTACAAGAAGGTGTTTTAGGAGATGAGGTGTTATGGTTGATCTTTCTTATATGTTTCTCCCATTTATATGTAGCAGCGCTTTTCAGTGGTTTGAACTCTGTGATGCTAGAGAGCAAACTAGAACACTCTTGTGTATATCATACATGCAGAGATGTTGGCAGGTGGTGTTTGCAAGTTCTATTTGACAATGTCATGAGATCATTATATGTGACATGGTTGGGCCAGATATGAGATATCCTACACCTGACTGAATCTGTCGAATAGAGTCGCAACTTTTCTGTTCGGCCGGGTCGGCCCAATATAATTGCCAATTTGCCATAGGCTCATATGCGACGGACTCTATAAAAGTCAAAGCACTGGTCCAAACTTGGTTGTTCCAACTATCAAGCTCATCAATCTTTTTACGATAAAATCAAAACTCGATTAAATATTTTGTTTGGCACGTGACGTAGGTTTATTATGTAAAGTGTGAGCGGCTTTGTTTTGTCCTCTTGTTTTTTCCATCACCGACTCGCTATTCACTGCACCGTTGGTAGCATGGCTTGTAGGTTATTAATTCAAGGCTTGATTATTGATTTGACTTTTGAAACTCAATTTTTAGTATCACTTTACTTTATTAAACTCAATTTGTCTCACTTTATATGTTAAAATGTTAATTTCGTGTCTGACTCTGCCTTAATTGAATTGAATTATATATATTATATGTTAAAATGTTAATTTCGTGTCGCATTCTGCCTCAATTGAATTGAGTTACACATATTATAAAGGGATTATAATAAAATAAATTGAGATTTAACACAACATGTTGTACGTTGTAATTTGTAAAAAGAGAAAGAAACTGTGATAAATTGATTGAATAGAATTATAAAAATAGGAGATAGAAATGCTATTCTTCAGCCTTTCCCAATGACCAAACTGACAATTTCTCCAATCTCACTGATTCCCTCCTCTAATATAACGTCTGACCCTTTCACGTCTCAATTGAGTGAATTTCTCTTTCACCAACACATCTCTATCTTGCTTTCTTTATGAAATCTCTGACCCGATAATTCTGTGACCCTTCTGTCACATAATCTGCATGTGTACGTCGTCGTTTCCCGCCACCCCTTGTATCTCTCTCTCTCTCTCTCTCTCATTAATTTAATGCTATTGGTTTTGAAGCCTTTTGGGATTTTGGGAAAAAGAGAGAAAGACTCTCAAGCTCTACTTTCTTTTCTTCTCTCCATCGACCCTTTAATTTTCCTTTTTAAGTTCCTTAATTAGGTCAATACCCCATCAAATCAAAACTATCCCTGAATAAATAAATTAATTAAAAACTCGCATTTATTCATCCTAATAAATATATTAAGAAGATTTGTCCGTTTTCCCTCTATATATATAAACCACCCACGGGTTTCTTTCTTTCATAATGGTCTCTTTCAGTTAAACCAGAAACCAAAGCAACAACAAACAAGGCAAAGGTTATGCCAATAAAGAGAGGGTGGATAGAGAGAGAGAAAGAAAGGGTCATGCGTCTTTTCTGATATAACAATAACATGAACCCTCTAGCTTTAAACCTACCCCATTTCGTTTCAGTTTTGGTTTCGTATTAATAGTCCACGAAATATGTGAAGGAAATTAAGGGGGACCTTTTGGCCGTCTGCTCTTGCTCATTTCACCAACTGGTCGAGAAAATATGGCAGTTCAGGCACCGCAGTTGTATTGTTCTGAAAACTTGGGCTTACCCACAACCATGACCACCATGTCTACTGGCCTTCAACAAGATTGGTCGATGCAGCTCAACCCTGTTTCTGGCCTTGACGACATTTTTTCCAGCTTTCCGAGCCCTCAGCCTCTTCATGATCATTTTCATCTTCGTCAAGCCCCTCAAAGTCAGAATACAATAAACCTTGATTGTTGTAACCAATTAGGAGTTTCAGTTTCCCCTTCCACTTTTAATTGCTTTCTACCAGCACCGCTTTCTGAAGCTTTGGGTGCTCAGCTTGACTTACAAAGGCACGAGCTTGACTGCATCCTTCAATTGCAGGTAAATAATTCACAGCATTGTCATGTAGGACTATTGGAGATTGATTTGATTTGTATATTTTTTGAAGGGTTCCTTCTTGTTTGTCCTTTTATTTTTCATGGTTCTGGTTGCATTTGCATCATCCTTTCAAATAAAGAAAAAAGAAAAAAAATTGAAACTTTTGAATTTTTTTTTCTTTCTTAAAAACAGAATGAGAAGCTAAGGTTTGCTTTGCAAGAGCAGAGGAAGCAACAACTGGCAGCCCTCTTGAGGAACTTAGAATATAGAACCTTGAGTTTGATTAGGCAAAAAGAAGAGCACTTAGCACAAGCGACAAAGAGAGCCATAGAGCTCCAAGATTGCTTGAGGAAAGCAGAGATGGAAAGCGAGACATGGCAGAGGATGGCCAAAGCAAACGAGACCATGGTCATAGACCTCAACAACACGCTTGAACAGGTCAGAGAGAGACTGGTTTTTGTCAGTAACGAAGCTGAAGACGCAGAGTCCTGCTGTGGCTCGTGTGACAGAGGAGGACACAGAGACAACGACAGGGTAGTAATTCTGCAAGAAAATCGAGTGGTTGAAGAAAAAGGGAAAAAGTTGGCTTGCAAAAACTGTAACACTAGGAGGTCGTGCGTTCTTTTTCTACCTTGCAGACACCTCTGTTCGTGTAAGTCCTGTGAACCCTTTCTTGGTTCTTGCCCGGTTTGTGAATCTACCAAGGAGGCAAGCATGGAGGTCTTTTTGGTCTAACAAGAAAAGCACCAAACAAAAGGGGCCAAAACCAAAAAACAGAAGGCATCAATCTTTTGCTTGTTTATTTTGAGAAAAAGTACACATGTTGATACCTTACCTGTACTGTCCTGAATCATGATTATGTGCTTAGCTTTTTCCATCTTGGGGTCTATGTGATCCGAATTCTTTTGTACTACGAGGTCCATCCATATCTGAATCAAAATGGTGATGATGATGATGTTGTAAAACGGTAAAAGAATCTTGCCCTTTAATTTCCTCTTCTGGCCTTGTGAGTTTTACTGTACTATAATATTATATTTTATATGTACGTATCCCTGAGTTTGGTTAAAATCTGTGAGGTTTGATGCAGCGTGCAATCCTTTATTGTCACAAGAACTCCAGCTGTTTTAATTTAGCCGTAACAGTGTACGGTTCTAAACCTCTAACTGACAAAAGGTAAATAAGAAATTGAAAGAAGATTTTGGCGTTTAGTATTAAGATTACAAGGAAGGACTGCAACTGCCACCGCCACTACTTATGATAATCTTTTCTTCGCTGCTTTCAATGAAATGGGTAGCCATTAGACAATGACACGAGCGTGTGAAAAGTAGTAAAAGCAGAAACTTGCAAATGCAGCAGCAGCAGCTGGTTCAAAACGAGGCCATTTTCATCTCAGACAAAAAGCTTTGAATGGCTTTTTAACGTAGAAACTTTACAGAGGGTAGAGATAGAGACAGAGACAGGGACAGAGAATGGGATGGTGATGGAGCTAATGGTTATTTTGTGCGTCCCATCTTTTGCTTAAAATGTCAGTCTTTGATATCCGCAAAGCGTAAAACTGCTTTTAATTTAATTTCTTGAGCCAGGCCATCCTCCCTTGAGCTGTAGTTTCTAAAAAGAGAGAAAGTGGGGTCCCTCTTGGAGTTTTCCTTGTAGTTTGTTGTGGATCCCACAACTTGGTCGATGTGAGTTGAATAAAATATATAAAAGAATAGAGGGCCCTGCAATGCGTATCGAAGAAAACCGTTTCCATAATAAGGTAGAGGCGTAGTGGTGTTTTTCGAGAATGGAGATCTTCTGCATGGAAAACCGAAACTGCTGATTTTTCCTTTTCTTTCTTTCAATCTCAGTAATGAACACAGAAGACAGAAGATGGACACCACTCAGTCACTCATCTGGTCGTCCTTCGTTTCTAGTTTCCTCCTATTTGAACTGGTCTCTCTTCTATCGTCATTAAATTAAATTGACCACTGTTCTTTTTGGATGATGGATTACATGGACGGCTGAAATGTTCACTTCAGACATGGAATCCCACCATATGTTTGATGTTTGATCCTCAGGGAGTTTTTTGCCTTTGTCTTTAGGGGAACATTGGACTATTTGGAGCTTTTGTTGAAACAAAACAAAAATTACTTGGAGCTTTTGTTAGATATATGGCTCATTTGAGAGTAATTTTGAATAGGCTAAAAATTACTTATATAGAGAATTACTTCTTCATATAATCACTTTAAGTGCCCATTTAGCATTGATTATTTGGGGTGATAAGTGATTTTTTTAAAAAATTTGAGAAGCCTATTTTTGTTTGGTAAACCATGAGAAAATCATTTATTGTTAAAAACTGTTGTAAAAGAAAGGTATAAGGGAAAGCTGGTGTAAATATGTTTTCATTTTATGATTATGCGGCAATCAATTTGGATGGGTGCTAGAATTTAATGAAAATTTAAGAATTCCAAAAATAAACCCATATGTTTTAACGTTTGCGTCTCTTTCTCCTTGTTCTTCTACTTCCCATCGTTCATCTGCACACATTATCTTCCATGTTCCTTAGTCTAGAGCTATTCTTCTCATTCTTTTCCTTCAATTTTTCTTGTTGGATTGTTGAAGCACTCTTTTGAAGCCACAAGAATCAAATAAGAGACATGTTAGGTTAATTTTTATTGTCAATTTCATTCTTCTCAATTAAGGTTAGAGAAGCTTATCATGGATTTGGGTTACTGTACAACTCAAACTGATCCTAAACCATGAAAGTAATTTTAAAAGCTTCGATTCCGTTTTGATTTCTAAATTGTTAATGAATTATGGCCTTTTGATTTAGTTAATGAAGTGGTTGTTGTTGATATACAAAACATTGTAGAACCAAAACAATAAGCAAACGAACAAGAAGAAAATAGCAAAACGCAAAGAGATGAAAACATATTTAATAATATATATATATATATGGGCGGATTCATGACACTAAGTTTTTTACACAATTTTTGACATAATTTTTGGGCTATTAGATTACTCAATTTTCAATAGATGAGATTAGATCTTACATGAATTTTTGACATAAAAAATAAAGGGAGCTTTAGTTTTAAAGCATAATATAGTTTACTAATTTAGTAGAAGGAAATACAATTTAGTATAATTAGCAAAAGGAAAAAAACCAAAATGTAACAAAAATACCATTACAAAATATGAAAATTACAACATATGCCATTTTCAGTATTTAGTTTTAAACAAAAACTGAAAAACGACATCAAACCAAAACTGAACCAAAACGACATCAACCGAAACCAAAATTGAATCACAACTCCTTCGCGCGACGTTTCAACTTCACCTCCAGAAACCTCTTCAACTTCAACTCCAGAAACCTCCAGACCACCAACGATCATCGAAGACCACCAACGATCATCGAAGACCACCAACCCATTCGTGCGACCATCATCGAAGACCACCAACGATCGAAGCCGATTCTTCATTCTCTCTTTCAGCAGTTCCAACCTATTCCCCCAAAATCTGAAACGGCGACGAGCGACGAGCGACGAGCGACGACCAGAAGCGACGAGCAGCAACGACGAGCAGCAACGACGACGATTGAAGGGTTTAGCACTCTCTTGGGGAAAAAATCGTAAGAAAATGACCCCTAACACAAATTTGCCTTTGATTTTAGGGTTCTGAAATTTTACTTACTGTCATTCTGCAATGTAGTTTAGGTTTTGGGTTTAGTTTTGGTTTGAAAACCTCTAGAAACCGAAAAATCACAAAAGAGCATCAAAACTGTTTTCTGCACTGAAGAAAACAGAAACTGCATTGTAGTTTCTGCTAAATTATTTATACTTCTTTCCATTTCACGCCATGTTGTTATGTAGTTTCTGTTGTGTTTTGTAGTTCTTGTTTTGACTATGCTGATCTTTCAATTTCATGTCAAGTTGATGTATATTTTCTGGTATATTCTGTTTTTTGCATTGCAGTGAACCACAAACTGCATTGCAGTTTCTGTGCATTTCACGCCATGTTGTTATGTAGTTTCTGTTGTGTTTTGTAGTTCTTGTTTTGGCTTTACTGATCTTTCAAATTCATGTCAAGTTGATGCATATTTTCTGGTATATGCTGTTTTTTGCATTTTAGTCAAAGACAAACTGCATTGCAGTGAACCACAAACTGCATTGCAGTTTCTGTTTGCTTGTAGTTTATCTCTACTTGTCCTAATAATATTTTCATCCCTTCTTGTTGCAGATCACAAATGGCACAAGAAATGTCACCACAAAAGGAGGAAGCTCAAAACCAACCAAAGCGAAGATTCAAAATGATGGCTCAAAAGAGTAAATCAAAGCCAAAGCCAAAGCCAAACTATGATCGGAAAGCAAAGCACCCAGATTATGTCCAATTTCGGTGCAATGTCAACGCTTTCAACAGCATCATTACGGATGTAAAAGACAAGCTGAATGAAAGGCAGAAGAAGCTTCTCAAGAACACCCCATTTTGGAACTTGATTGAGGTGTTTTACAACCGAAGGATTGACATGAATAACATGAATAAGTCAGACCTTGACTTAGTTCAGCTGCTCAAGAAGTTTGATCCGGATACAAAGTCCTTCAAATTTGGCACCGAAGCATTCAAGATCACAGGCAATGCAGTGACTCAGATTCTAGGACTGCCAAATGAAGGAAAATCTGTCAAACTTGTCAATGATAGGTACACTTCTACCTTCAGAATAAGGCACTTTGGAGAAAAGGGAAAACCATCAAAAAATCTGGTAGAAGCAGAATTACTGAAGACAATTTCATTGGCAAACCAACCGAAGAAAGAAAAGGCCAAGGCAGAGCAAAAGAAAGAAGCTGAAGAAGAAGAAGAAGAAGAAGTTGACTACGACAAGGAGGTGGTCAGCATAATATTGATTCACCTATGCATGACATTCCTTTTTGCCAACGCTTCGTCTACTTTGCATTGGAAAGTATTTGAGCACTGTGTGAATCTGGACACACTTTCAAGCTATTCTTGGGCAAGTGCTGTTTCAGCCTACATGAATGAATCCTTGGTCGCAAAAGCAAAAGCAAAAGCAAAGAAGGGAGGAGAAGGCTCTATAGGAGCTGTTTCGGGTTGCATTATCCTAATATTGGTATGCATTTTAAGTTTTAGGCAATGCAGTTTCCCTTTAGTGCAATGCAGTTTCTGTTTTATCCTAAGCAGTTTCCAACCTAATTTATGATATATCTTGTTTTTGAACTGTGCAGTTTCTATTGTGTGAGAGGACAAACATAATACAACCAATCCTGGGCAAAGAGAAAGAAACTCCTGCCATTCTTAAATGGAGTCTTGTGGAACTCCACACAAGATTCAACCAAATAACGGACTTGAATGACATCGAGGTATGCAATTTATCGCATGTTGTTCTACTTTAATGTATCTTGAATGTGAATTCATGCTAAATCATTCTCATTGTACAGGGTATTTTCAAAACTCCTAAAAAGCGAAAAACTACCAGGGAAGAGGAAGACACTGTTGACAAGGTATTTGAGTGAACCACAAACTGCATTGCAGTTTCTGTGAACTGCATTGCAGTGAACCACAAACTGCATTGCAGTTTCTGTGCTTCTTGAATGTTGCTCATTTCACGCCATGTTGTTATGTAGTTTCTGTTGTGTTTTGTAGTTCTTGTTTTGGCTATGCTGATCTTTCAATTTCATGTCAAGTTGATGCATATTTTCTGGTATATGCTGTTTTTTGCATTGCAGTGAACCACAAACTGCATTGCA